AATGGCACCTGGACTGGTACAACACCAGCAACTAAGGATGATGCCGTCCATTACCTTCCCGCTTCAGCCTTTCAGTTCATACTGATGAACGAGCCCCACCCTTATAACTAATTCCCACACCACAACTCCAAAATCCTGGCTTTATCTTCGCTCTAGACTTCGCTGGACTATTGCAGTTCTCAAGAAGCGTGCTGCCTTCATGCCCCTCTATTACCCATCTACATATGCTGCCAAGGGGGGCTCATTGTCCTCATGTCCTCATGTCCCATTGACCCAATACCATTCACCTCACTTTGTCTTCGGCGTTTCAAGGTTATCGGCCCGTGTTATCAATTTGCTCTAGCATATATTTGTTCACTGCACTATCCTCTCCCCCCACAATCTCTCGCTCAATACCGCAATTCATGCCCCTTGATGACCTGTCGATTCACCCAGATATATAACTCCGTAGGATGCTTACGCACCCGGCTTCGGGCAACCTCTTGTATTATCTAGTCTCAAACTCCCTCATCTCTGAATAGTACCTTTGTGATCAAACCCAATGTGGCTGAAGGAGATATATCCTCTCCGGAGTCGAAAGTACAAGGCACCGAATAGCCGCTTGGCGGTCTACTTGGTATAGCGGAAGTATTGGCCATCTTTGAACAATGTCTTAATCTGCAGGCGCTGAAACTGTATGGAGATATCTCCATCTCTGAACTCGTACGGGTGAACCAGGGAAGATCACGTGGCTAGGTTACTTGGGGATTCCTCCAATACATTGACTTTCTGCCCAAGCTTCATGCACCATAAAGCTAGGCCCTTTCTTAGATTACGTACCAGACGTATGGGTTATCATAGCGCCGGGCTGCAGAAAATAAGACACAGTCTACGAGGAGAGGCATCATTACACACAAGAGAAGTTTTTATTTCTCCAATAAAAATCTACTGATCTGAAGATTCCCCTGCCTGAATGAACAAGTAGTGTAAGTGATTTGATCAGAACAGACATATTTTGATTTGATAAACTGAAGTGAAGAAAGAAACGCTCAAAACGCCATAAGGAATTCACATAGTGAATCAGGGAGGTGGGGTAATAAACGAAGAGAATAAACAAAGGGAGATCCTTCGCTGTTCCTATTAGAGCAATATTGGTTCAGTGATTAACATATAGATCCCTGAGGCTAATACCGCTGGAACTAGTGAGGGTCATCAAACGCATATGAGCTTCATGAAGGAGTTAAGCTTTGCGCGCGACATTTAGTCGACCTCCTCCATGGAGGACTCGCCAGCGGCGGCGGCAGGAGCAGCCTCCTCGGTGGCCGTCTCCTCGGTGGCCTCGGCCTCCTCATCGATGTTCAGACCGAGGGAGACGAGCTTGTGGATACGCTCAGCGAAGCTGGCGGGCTCCTCAATGGTGAAACCGGACACAAGAAGGGAGGTCTCGAAGAGCAGCTGAGTGATGGACTTGACGGTGCGGTCACTTTCACCATCAGTCTCGACCTTCTTCTTGAGCTCCTTGACGATGGAGGACTTGGGAGAGATCTCAAAGGTCTTCTTAGAGGACATGTAAGAGCTCATGGAGGTGTCACGGAGAGCCTGGGCCTTCATGATACGCTCCATGTTGGCGGACCAACCGAACTGACCCGTACGGATGGCGCAGGGAGCACCAACGAGCTTGTGGGAGACAACAACCTTCTCGACCTTGTCGCCAAGGATGTTCTTGAGGCTCTTGGCAAGAGACTCGTACTCCTTCTCCTCCTTCTCACGTTCGGCCTTCTCCTCCTCGGTCTCCTCGAGCTCGAAGTCTTTGGTGATGTCGACGAGCTTCTTACCATCGAACTCCTTCAGCTGGGTGAAGGCGTACTCATCAATGGGGTCAACCAGGAAGAGAACCTCGAAGTTCTTCTGCTTGAGGCTATCCAAGAAGGGAGACTTGGCAACGGCCTTGATGGACTCGCCAGTGATGTAGTAGATCTGCTTCTGGTGCTCGGGCATGCGAGTGACGTAGTCGGCAAGGGAGGTAGACTCATCACCAGACTTAGTGGACTGGTAGCGGAGGAGCTTAGCGAGAGTCTGACGGTTCTGAGCATCCTCGTGGATACCAAGCTTGATGTTCTTGCTGAAAGCAGAGTAGAACTTGTCGAACTGCTCGCGGTCCTCAGCGATCTCAGTGAAAAGCTCGAGGGTCTTCTTGACAATGTTCTTCTTGATGACCTTCATGATCTTGTTCTGCTGGAGAGTCTCACGGGACAGGTTGAGAGGAAGGTCCTCAGAGTCGACAACACCCTTGACGAAGCTGAGCCACTCGGGGATGAGGTCAGTAGCATCATCGGTGATGAAGACACGGCGAACGTAGAGCTTGATGTTGTTCTTGGTCTTCTTGGTCTCGAACAGGTCGAAGGGAGCACGCTTGGGAACGTAGAGGATGGCACGGAACTCAAGCTGACCCTCAACGGAGAAGTGCTTGACAGCAAGGTGATCCTCCCAGTCATTGGAGAGGGACTTGTAGAAAGCAGCATACTCTTCCTGAGTGATGTCGGCGGGGTTGCGAGTCCAGATGGGCTTGGTCTTGTTGAGCTCCTCCTCCTCGATCTTGCTCTCCTTGACGGTCTTGGTCTTCTTCTCCTTCTTCTCTTCCTCCTCGTCATCGACCTCCTCGATCTTGGGCTTCTTCTCGTCACCCTCTTCCTCCTTGGACTCAGCCTCCTCATCGGGGACCTCCTTCTCGGTCTCCTTCAGGACGTGGAGGTAGATGGGGTAGGAGATGAACTCGGAGTGCTTGCGGACAACCTCCTTGATGCGGCTCTCGTTGAGGTAGTCGGTCTGCTCATCCTTCAGGTGGAGGATGATCTTGGTACCACGGCCAAGCTGTTCACCCTCGGTGTCCTGGGTGAGAGTGAAGGTACCACCGGCAGCGGACTCCCAGATGTACTGCTCGTCATCGTTGTTCTTAGAGACGACAGTGACGCGGTCGGCAACCAGGTAAGCAGAGTAGAAACCAACACCGAACTGACCGATCATGGAGATATCAGCACCAGCGGAGAGGGCTTCCATGAACTGCTTGGTACCGGAGCGAGCGATGGTACCGAGGTTGTTGATCAAGTCCTAGAATGGCATGGTTAGCTGTGTGTTACTCCAGAAGAGTTGACCAACGGGATCGAACGTACAGCCTTGGTCATACCAATACCGGTATCACGGATGGTCAGGGTCTTCGCCTCCTTGTTGGGAATGATGTCGATACGGAGATCCTTGCCCGAGTCGAGCTTGGAGGGGTCCGACAGGGACTCATAGCGGATCTTGTCCAAAGCATCGGAGGCGTTGGAGATCAATTCACGGAGGAAGATCTCCTTGTTGGAGTAGACAGTGTTGATGATCAGCGACAAGAGCTGAGAGATCTCAGCCTGGAACTCAAAGGTTTCGGCAGACATGATGGTAGGAAGAGAAAGCGGATGAGATTCTAGTAGTAGAGAGTGTGTGGTTAGTTCGTCACTTCCGCCATATTGAGTGAGAGATGAGTTGATGGTGAGGCGTGGAAGGAAGAATATACTCACAAGAAAACGTAGTACGAAGGTGAAGAGGTATCACAAAGTTCTTTCTAACAGAATTGAAGAAGAGAGATGGCGGGAGGAGGGGGAAATAGGAAGATAGGTTTGTAATGGAAGAGAGGTATAGAGGATAGAGGGGTTGTAAGATGTAGAGAGAAAGAGAGATTGAGAGGTGAGTTGGTAGAAGAGGGAAAAAATAGCAAGCTTGGGAGGAGGGGGGGGAGTAGTGAAAAGATGGGTTAGCAGTTTCCAGGCGGACAGCGGGCACCTTATGCTTGCGGCGGCGGAACACAAAAATTTGGCTCGATTCTATTCTATGGACTTCTACAGTGGTCTCCGCTGGTCTCTGGCGGTCTCTGGCGCTCTTTGACTTCCCCAGGATCTTCCAGTCCGTTCCACATATTCAGATTGTGTTCCTGAATGACTGATCTAGACGGTTCGATCTCTTGTTGTCAATGGGTGCATACTCAAGCACTCAATACTAACCGTGTGTTTACCCCTACTCCGTACGCTGAACTTGCTCTGTCTGTGCATCCATTGCTGTAGTTACGTGAGTTGAGGGACAAACGGATGACTCAGACTGCTGCCTGAGAACCGAGGCGCTTAATCTAGAACGTTCCGCTCCACACCACCACTAGTTAGTTGCCTGGCAATAACCCGTCTTTTCCCATTGAACACAGTAAGTTACTACCGTACTGTAACTACTAGAGCTGAGGTACCTAGTACGGTACACTCACTCCTCATCCATCCATCATAACTAACTAGGTTACCTTACTCATACCCGCCCAGTCGCCTCTTTCATGTCAAGATCAATCAGTCAATGAGCCTTGCCTCGCCCGCCGCCACCATCTTTTTGCCTCTCGTTCACTAGACCTTTTTTTGTAAATAGTTCAAGATCATTGTTTGGAATCATCCATTGCCGTCAATTCCCAGGTCTTTCTTTTCCTTTAATTGGCAGTGAGGACATACTGAAACTGCTTTTATTCAACTGCATTTACTTCTCCTGGCCACCATGATTTTGTGCACTTGTGGGCGTCGTAGAGCAAACCCACTCTCAATTCACAAAGATGGTCTCACCCATGGTTCATTCTCAAAAAAGCTTACCAGTCCTACTCCAAGCCACGGCACTCACCATAGCAATTACCCGCAACTCATCGTCGGCAAGGGAAGAGACACACTTCGGGACACCGTCCTAGTTCAAGAAGCTGAAAAACATGGACCATATCATGACGGGCAATAAGCTCGCTATGCTGGAGAGGTAGGACACATTCACAAAGGTCATGACAACACAATAAATCAGTAGAAAACCAGAGTCAGATAGACGACCAAGAACTGCCCAGTTAGGAAATGATAAGACAACTTTTCCAACCGCTAATATGCATCGTGCCAGAGCAGGGCCACATAACACATGTCATTATTCAGTAAATGGGAAAGGAGGGGGGAAGTAATACATGTCCTGGATCGCCGTGAGCATCTAAAAACATAGGATGGTCCGAAACCAGGATGGAAGGGCTAGAGAAAATCGTTGATGACCAGATAAAGAGATACAGAAGAGAAAGAGAAGGCCATAGACAGCTTTGACCTCACTGAAATACTTTCCGTCATTCCTCAGGCAAGAAACCTGGGTTCGTGGTGTTGTTGAGATTTTGAAGAAGAATTCATATTTTTTTCTCGGTTTCTTTGTTCGTCAGTACGTTGCTGTGGCTTTAAGCAGTCTGGGTTTGGTTGCGACCCTTGGCATTGACATTGCCGCCACGGCCGCGAGGAGCAAAGCCTCCGCGCCCATCACGCTGGAAGCCGCCGCGACCCTGGCTGCCGACACGGTCTCCACGACCACGGCCAGCGCCACCACGGCCAGCATAGCTACCGTTACCACCGTAGGCATTAGTGCGAGCACGGCGCTCCTCAACGTAAATCTGCTCGGTTCCGATCTGGTGGGGATTGGCAGCAACAGCGGCGTTGTAGCCGGCAGCATCGCCGAATTCAACAAAGGCGCAGTTCTACATGGGAGACAGAGAAGGTTAGCGTCGACAATCACACCAAAATATAGGGCCAGGCGAGAGCAATTGCATACCTTTTGGCGGCTCACATCGAAGTGCTTGAGCTTCCCAAAGCGAGATAGAGTCTGCTTGAGCAAACTGGCATCGACCTTCTCCGTGACATTCTTGATGTAAGCAAGAACATTCTGCTCATCAGCCGCGCGAGACTGGGACTTCTTGTGATCGTGACCAGCGGTTTGCCAACCGGCTCCATCGTTAGAGGAGGGTTGGCTGGGAGCGGACTCAGCAGCAGGAGCGGGAGCGGGAGCTGCGGCGGGAACGGGAGCTGCGGCTTGGGACGAGTTGGCAGAAGCAGCAGCAGGGGCAGCAGCAGGTTTTACTGGAGCGACAGGAATGGCGGGAACCACGGGCACGGTGGCGCCGGACTTGGATGCGATGTTGGCCCAAGTCTTGGGAAGAGCCTTGGCCGCGGGGGCGCTCTCCTTAGCGGGGGCAGGGGCCTCCTTCGGCTCGGGAGCAGGAGTGGGCTCGGGGGTCGCGGGTTCCTCAACCTTGGGCGCTTCAGCAGCAGCGGCGGGCTCAACAGCCTCGGGAGCAGCCTCAACTGGGGCCTCCTGAGCCTCGGCGCCATTGGTCTTGGGAGCCGACTGCTCAGCGGGTACTTCCTCGACATTCTGCTCGGCTTGCTCAAGCTTCTGATCAACCTGAGCAGCAGCTGTCTCATTGTCGACCTGAGACTCCTCAACCTGGGGCTCTTCCGCAGCCGGGGCAGGGACAGCCTCAGGCTCAGCCTCAGGTTGGGCGGGCTCTTCAGCAGTAGGCTCATCAGCTGGAGCGGTGGGAGCGGCAGCGGGGGCAGCCTCTTCGGTCTCCAGCTCCTCTTCAACATCAACCAGGTAACGGAAAATATCGTTCAGGACATAGTAACCATTGGGCTGCTCGGCCAGGACAAAACTCTGCACGAACTTGCGAGAAGGCTCCAATTTGTTGGAGATTTCGCCAATGACGGAGACGAGGATGTTGTCGAACGACGCCTGCGAATCAACGTTCAGGACACGGACTTTGCAGTCTTGGAAGTCCAACTGCTTGATCTTCTCATTGATAGCCTGAAAATACATCTAACGTCAGCAATTGCTCATTCCCGATAGCGCGGATGCGATGACTCGCTCAATTGGAGTGCACCTACCTTCTGACCCACTGCAACTGGGACGCTCTCCGCCTCCGTTCCAAAGACGAATTGGGAGCGTTTAGAATAGAAGAATTGGAGCTTCTCCGGACTACGGCTCATGTTGGTATAGTACTGCTCGACAAAGTACCAACCAACCTCATCCTTAGCAATGCCATTCTTCTGTTCGGTCGACGGCGCGTTCGAGGGAGTGGTAGACTGCGCAGGCTGGAAGTTGGCAGCGCTGTTCACATTGGCATGGGTGTGGTTGTAGGGATCGGGGTACGCATGTTGCGCAGGGTAGCCGTTCAAAGGAGCCTGGGTCGTGTCGGCCATTGTGTGCTGAATCAGAATTTGAGGATTGAGAAACGATGAAGGTGAAGGACGAGGAGGCGTAAATCGCAAGAGCCCAAGGTACAAAGGCTATCAGAACCGAGCTTTATGTGACAGAAAGAAAATAGTGGCGGTGGAGCTCTATCGAGAAGACGCTTTTTACCCGTCTATGAAGCTCTTTGTTAATATTCAACGTGCTTTGGAGATATGGCGTCAGATGAGGGACGATAGGGAAAAGGCGGAAGCAAAAAGTAATTCATGAATGTGCGATGTCAGGAACGAGGGAGCTGCTCACTAGGTATGCAACAAGCTAGACAAGAAGGACAGCAACAACAATTATGTTCAAGATGTTTGCGCGTCGAAGTCGTCGATGTGTGAAATAGAAGAGGAAGTCTTGTGCGATTCGGATTTAGACAAAGTGCGGTGCGAAAGGAAGGCCTGAGGAAGAAGTGGATAAAAAAGAAAACTGGGGCGAGAACTTAGGCGTCAAATGGCTGGAAGAAGAATTTGAGAAGCAAGAGAGATTTGAGTGAGGAGCAAGCTGTTAGTGGTTGACGGAGATGGTTTGAGGAAGTGGTGAATATAAGAGGTTGGTTGGTAAGTTAGTGGATGGAAAGGCCTGCTTGGTGCTGGGAGCATCGAACCCAGAAAAGCCCGCTCGGCAGTATGCTCACCGCCTGTCGAATCCAGGCCAGTTGACACCCGAGGCAAGAAATAGTCCCGAACAATAACTTGGTCTTCGAATCGCTTTCGAATTATGGATGATATAAGGTATACTTTGTGAGGTCGTGAATTAGTGGTGCCCAGGTCCTAATCAAATATTGAAGGTGTTCCAGGCGAGAGCTCATGCCCACCCCCAGGCTGCATGTCGGGAGGAACCATTCTGGGGTATTGCTACCCACCAATCAACCGTCCAGGCAGACTCATGCAGGTGTGATCGTTTGCCGTGGATTAGAAGAAAATCTCATCGAGGAATGGTATTTCCAGGCGTATCTACGTGTCTTGGCCTGGCTGAGAGCAATTGTACGACCAATGATAATTGACCACCACTTCGATCCCCATTCTAGAGGTAAGTACGTATGGCAGTGATCTGTTCCCTCGGCTATACATCTGAAGAAACACAAGCACCGCCTTTCAAGTATAACATCAAGTACTCCAAGGATCTTTCACATAAGTCAGATGTAACGAACAAGTAGATTCATGGAATATGTAATGGCAGCCACAAGAGGCATTGAATTCGCAGAAACAGAACAGCTGGCTCGAGGCAGGGGTATGAAAACAGATATTAGACAGGCTTCTCATTCAGAAAGTGATAAATATCAGACGCGTTTGAAAGGGTTCCGTCGCACCCGATACCGACAGGCAGAGGGAAGAAGTGACTTTGGGTCCCAGGGTGCGAGGGTTCCGATCACAAAAAAACCATAAGAGTCATGCACGGTAACCAGTCGACATCTCAAAAAAGGCACTAAGATTCATATCAAGGGGACGCAGTCGAGTCGACAACGGCCTTCTCATTCAAGGTGGGCTCGCGCATGATGGCATCCTGGCCTGTCATTCTTCGGTCGAGGGCGCGCTCGACTTTCGCTCCCAGCGCCAATTTGCTGAGGTTGTCGCTCTTCTCGGGGGTGGGAACAAAGCGCTGCTTCAGCAGGGGCTTGTTCTCCAATCGCTCCAAGCCGTCCCGCAGATGGTGAAAGTCGGCCAGTCGGGGATCCCCACTGGGCAGACTCGAGAGATCCGATGACGCAACCGAGGGGCTCCCGCTCACAGTCGAGAATCTCTTCGACGTCCGGTTCTAAAGCCTCCGGTCAAAATCCAAGCACCATGTTCCGGGAGTAATAGGCTTACAGATTGAGCCATGATTGGTCTTTCGGAGTCGAGCGAGGTGTGTCTGGCCATAACTGGATAGGGAGGATCCCTAAGGAAGGGGTGGGGAGTGGAAAATTGAGTAAACTTCCGCTGCTGGCAGTTGCGCAATGAGGTTATTGTGACTAGACGTGGGTTGAATTAAACATGATTAGCGATTGACGGGTTCACTGCAGTGATACATAGGGGCATGAGGATAGAGAATGTCATAATACTAAGGAGGTCATTGCGATCTCTCCTTTCATATGGAAACTTAACAAGACACCGGGGATAAAATCTAGCACTGGCACCCACGCTAAAAGGAAATCGGACGGGCGAAATAGGGCTTGCGCAAGTATGCATACCTCTTAAGGGGTCACAGTCGGAAAGGGGCGACGCGACACTATTGTCTGTTCTTCTACCGGAGGAACGATGAGGAATAGGGGAACAGTTGCATAAGAAATAGAGGAAGATAGAGAGATAGAGTATGTCTGTGAGAAAGCGCGAGAGAGAAGGATGTTATAAGAAAAAAACAGAGGAGGAGGAGGAGGACAAGGGTAAAGTAAAGGTAGTAAGCAGGAAACCGGAGGTAGGCGGCGTAGGTGAGGTGAGGTGTGTACGTGCGCACATGCGTTGAGCGTTTGTTCGAGGATTCGGGGGGGTGGATTTGGGAGGGGGTGGGAGGGGAGATGTCAGTGGGTCGCCCGCAGTAGGAGCGGTATTTTTTTTGACTCTATGTAATAAGAGAATGGAAATGGAAAAAAAATCCCTTGAAGTAATAGATATACTCAAGTAAAATGCCCATGACCACGAATCCTACAAAAGTCAAGGATTTACAAAGGAATTTTAGCTCTAACCTTGTCTATCTGAAGTTTCACTTTTTCCTTTTCTTTTCTCGCCCTCTCCCTCTCATCCTCTTTTGTCATTGTTGGCATTGCCAATTCAATTCATACTCGTACCCCTGGTTAACTTACAACTTAACTTACAAGCGACAACCCGGGATGGAGTTAGGTGGCCATGTCCGTACTCGGGATCTAGCCCGGTCAGTGGCTTCAAGGTTGTAGTCAACTAATTTTTTTTTTCGCCCACTGGTAACACAGCCTTGCAGAGCAGCACTAAACCTAGTACAATACAGTGCATACTCTGGTTCTTTTGTATTTCCGAAGTGAAAAAAAGAACCCGATTATGCAGCACGCCACACCATGTCAGACTCTCCGAGATGGTCGGCTCGAGTAAGTATTATGAGACATCGGACGGATAGCAGCTTGATCATCAGACAGGGGTTCTCTGCTGTTGGAACACAACTTAAACAGACTAAGTTACTACTCATACTACGGGCTGGGGCGGATTGTCATATCACCCGGCTCCTGATCCTAGAGTAGGAACAATTCATGACGATCGGTTTGGCTGAACACTGCGACCACTGTAATTGCCCTGGCTTCCCGATAGCTACTCACAAAAGGAAGGTGATTGGATTTTTCGGAACGTATAGAGGAACAAAGTTGATCAGTTGTTCCTGGTTATTCATTGATCGGGATCGCCTAGAGGGGAAAGAGTGCTTTCTTTGTCTCTGCGGGCTGGTGTGGTTATCGAGATCCAAGACGATCTAAGAGCAGCGATAAGAGGGAATCAGAGCATGAGGCGGCCCTCCATCAGCACCATAATAGATTAAAGCCAGAACCAGCCCGTTGTCTGCCACGTGCTAGGGATTGCCCATATCGCCACGTGAGCTGATCTCATAGCTTGTGACAAAGCATGGGAGGAAAGAAGAGGAGGGGAGAAAAGGTGGCCTGCACATTGTACTCAATCGGTCTTACCCGAGGGAGGGGAAGAATTCGGCGTACTATTCAAGGTTACTCCACGTACTCTTTATCTCCTTTCAATCTGATGTCAATTCATTGGAAATAGCATGGTATGGCGTTGCATACCTACCTTTACCTCTAAAGCTATCATGCCCGTAAGAGTGGAAGTCTTTATTGGTTATTGTCAAGCACCTAGAGCGACCTGTTCTGTAGGTATCAAGTAGAGTACTACGTAAGTTCAATTGCGAGGTGTGCGACCTGCTGGGTTAGATAAGCAGATCACAATCCTTGTGTCAGAGGCTTGTTCAAGATTTGCAAGACAACCGGCTAACACTTTCTGAACTCAACTCGCCTGTAGTTACAACCTACACAGGTAAATCACATGTAGACTTTGCAGGTTCAATGAGTCTCAGGCAGGAGCTCCGATTGACCCAAATGAGGGTTGTTGTTCGGCGATCCCCGCCCGGACTACGGATAGGAGTCGCAGCGTATTGTATATAGTACATAGGTAGTATGCTGTAGTTGTCTAAGGAATAGTGAACGTCCATCTATGATCTATGGTTATTGTCATTGTACTCCGTAGATTCAAGCATTGACTTTCACTTAACAAAGAAAAGGCGGTGTCTCCGACATGGCTCCGTCACCTGATGCGGGGAAAAGGAAATTTGACGACGGAAAAGTACGTACGCCGCCGGGAGTTCCACTAGTCCTCAGCTCTCAAAAGAGACTTTCATCTAGTAGTCGGGTTTAGCTTATACTATTATCTCGTCTTGTATTATATTGTACACTACGCTGAGTCTCATTGGCAAACCCATGCAATAGTAGACTCAACCTGGGAAGCATCTAACAATATTGTTCCAAGCAGATAATCAAAAGGAAAACAAGAAGGGACAGTTGATAAAAAAAAAGAAAAGAAAAAGAATGCCGAAGCCAAAGGCCTTCCTCAAGGAAGCGAAAACCAAAAAGAAAGCGGCACAACGAGTATGGATCCAAACCGGCTGTTTGTTTCTTGCAATACTAATGGTTCATCTCAGGCCCCCGAAACCTCTGATGAATACCTTGCACGTATGTCACAAGACTACCTATTCCTATAGACGCCGTTGCGTAGGTCGGGTGCTAAGGTACGAGACTAACGGAGCCCCATTAGTCGGTGTCGAACAAGAAGAAGCCGGAGAAAAATGGCGGGCTGGAGACGCTGCCAAATCGCTGCGCTTCTTCATGCGTGCCATTAATACCTACGATGAAGGCTTGATCAAGCATCCAGGTGCATTTGACTTGGCCTATAACAAGTGAGTCGCAAATCATCCTCAGCCTGCGTTGTTGATTCACCGAGTGTTTTGATTGTTTCTTTGAATGCCTGTTTGACATACAGTAGAGCTCGAGTTCAATATGAAATCACACAGCATCCGAAATTGAAAGCCCAGTTGTCGGCCCCATTGACTGATGTCCTGCAAGAGGCACTGGAGTCCCATAGAGTGGCGCTTGCTCTAGAGCAAGATAATCCTGACGCACTCTTCAACACAGGCCAGGTGCTTACGAGCATCGCGGAGATTTTGACCGATTCGAAGCACCCATCCGACGAGCGCCTATCGCAGGCTGTAAAGCTTCTGCAGGAAGCGATCGAGCTCTTCCAGCGTTGCCTGCTTCTACAGGAGCTGAAGTTTACAGAAATGCAGGAACAAATCAAACAAATGGAATCTGCGGACGCCGGACAACCAGAGGTGGAGACGCAGAACACACAGAAGACTCCCGAGCAACCATCGGAGTCGAAACCAACGGACGAGCAAGAACAATGGGCTGCAATCATAGAGCCAGTGACCAAGGATACATTGGTGGACACGGCAGTAGCACAACTTGATACATTGACAACTCTCTGCAACCTGCTTACATTCAACCCTGGGGTCGGCCTGGGATGGGTGGAGGATTCTTCGTCCGACCTACTGCAGAAGCGCATCTCCGCTTATGTGGAGGGATCGAGCAGACACTATGAGGCAGCTTTGGCCAGAGCCAAATTCACCTGCGGGCTGAACGAACTGCTCTATCGAAGCGGCCAAATCGAGGCTGAAACGTACTCCAGTGAGGTCTCGCAAGCTTTTGGCGCGGGTTTAGATGTCTCTTCCGATCCAGGTGGTCTCTGCAGCAAAGCAGATGCGCTGACGTCGTTCAACACTGCCCTCATCGATCTTCCTCCTTACGAGCCTGAAGCGTTCACGAGAGCGTTGTCATTGCGGTGGCAGGCACTTTCTGCGGCACTGGACGCTCTCACAAAAGCATCTAAGCATCCCGAGGCAGATGACTTGCCCAAGATCCACCTAGCCAGGGGAGACGTGGAGATAGCTAGGTGGAGGCTTGGCATGCCTCCCTGGAACTATGCCATGGCTCAGCAATATGGAGCCACACTGCTGCGCAACGCGCAGACATACTACCGAGGCGCCGCAGCACTAGCCAGGAGAGGCGGAGCCTCAGAGGCGTCGCGAGACGGATCGTGTAAAGAAGCCATTGCAGCGGCCCTGGAAGGACAGAAGCAGAAACTGGAGGAGCTCAGGAGAGCCGCGCCAAAGGAACTGATGATGGTAGCCGAAGATGTCGTCGACGATGGATGGATGAGCCCTGGTGATATGGAGGTGCTTCTGTCATAGACATACCACGGGGCGTAATATACAATTCGCCGTTTTTCGAATTTCAGAAGTTGCCCGTAATATGATATCGTGTGGATACGAGAGTTCAATCATATCTCAGACCGAGCTCTGATTTCCTCATCCATCTCTGCAGCCTCCTGTCGTAGATTGTTATCGCTGCCGAACTGCGTCGCAGCGGCAGCAGCGACCTCCAAGTCCGCAACAACAGACTCCAAGCCTACGAGCAGGTCTCGAATCTCCCTCCTTTGCGCTTGCACCCGTTGCGCCAGCTCTGAATTCTCATCTTGAACTGATTCGATCTTGTGGTTCAGAGATGACTGCGTTTCACGCATATATGGCAGGAGATGGGATCGAAATAGTTCATCAGGAGGCAAGGTATGCGGACTATTTGTAGAGACGCTCGGTCAGTCCATCAATCGCCGTTACGCACAGAACATCCCCGCCTCTCCCTTTCAAAAAGAAAGAAAAAAAAAAACAACGAAGAACAATAAAAGAGCGAAGGGAGAAGATAAGAACTTACGCAACAGTCTCCTGTCCAACCCCATGATCCTTCCTATACTTCGCCTCCCCGACCAACCGATCCAGCTCATTCAATTGCCGGACAGCATCCCGTTCCGTCAAGATGTCCTCAAACTCCGCTTTCGCACTCTCCTCCAACTTCGCATTCAACTGCCGCCAAACCGACTCCAAGCTGGCGGGGACATGCTTGGCGGGGGTGGGGAAACAGCTCGAGAAGTTCGCATATGAGTTTGCGCGCAAGGTACGCGCAAGTGCTTTGTCGAAGATCTCTTGCAATTTGGCGACGCGTGGGCCGGGGGTTGATGCGACAGGGGCCGGAGGGGGAGGAGATGGGGAGGCAGCGGCTCGGGTGGTGGTGCTGTTCGCGGGATTGGTATCTTCGGTCATTTTGGGGTGGAATGTGTTCAACCAGGTGATAGAGGAGACTGTATGTCGGGGTGTTTTCTTTTTCTTTTTCTTTTCTCTTTTGCTGTAATCCTTCTTTCTTTTTGTATCGGTGTGATCGTTTTCTTTCGCCTGCGATTGAGTTGTTAGGCAGGGTTCCTTCGATCGACTGTGGCTGAAGATGCTCGGCAGTGGAGATGGGTTGGGGAAATTGCGATGGATGCATGGGCGAGACGCGCCGGAAGACGCGCCCCATCACGTGATTCTATGCTAGAGATTCCACTACGCCATACATACAACGATGATGATAATGCTGATCACGGAGGCTTGAGGACTATGATAAAAAAGACGTGATTACAAGATCTTACTTAGCTAGATAGTTATAGTAAGTCTAGTTGGACACGACAACGCTGTAGACTCAGAAACTGGAATACATAGAAGAGAAATCAAAATGATCTATTATACAAGCACGAAAGTAAGTTTGGGATTATCTACCCAATGTGGTTGAAAGCCCCGTCAGTGGTAGGCTTGTCTTCGGTGAGTCAAGAAAGCTTTGCAGTTCGCATTGCAATTTCACTGTGGGCGCTCGCGCTCGGACTCAATTGACCCTGCCTGGTCTCCAGCTTGAACGCCAACCTTCCTATTCGAGAACAAGAGTTCTTCAAATGCTGGCCATGAGATTGACACATATATGATACTATTCCAGAATCCCTGCAGTGGTAGCACTAGACCCGAGATGTAATTCAACTCAAAGCTGGCCTTATGCGGGAGCACCAGTGAATAGACTCGATTGGCCGTTGATGGCACCTGTGCAATATCAGCAATCGCGGTCCAGATCGAGAGGGGCAGCGAATACTTACCCATGTGATTAACAGAGCAATGAAGAAGAGGATCGCATATTTGCTGTAAGCCCATGCTGCCGAATTCGTTTCCATCACGGTCGCTCGGCGTTGGATGCCGGCGCTGATTTGGTCATGTCCGTAAGGTTGCTCTGCAGTTTTCTCGCTATCCTTGAGATCGCTTCCAGCTTGAATGGTGACTGAATATGGGCAATAGAATGTGTGCAGACTCTTGGTCGATATCGGGTCTTCATTCCCCTCCAGCGGCACTTGCACAGTATGCACAATCTCCCGGGTTATGGAAAACTCGGTCACTTTGGAAAGTTGGATGTTTTTCAAGCTAGCTGTGGTGCTGGAAGAGTCTGTATTTCCAGCACGGTTCAGTTGCTGCCGCTTCTGATAGATAACACTGCCTGTGCGCACATAGATAAAAATGGTCAAGCACATAATCAACCACACTGGTCCGTAAAATAGGGCAATGCGTAAAAAGTCCCAGGGGGTCGAGACCCAACACCAAAGCTACAAGATCGTCTCAGTATGAAGGAGCCTGGTGGGACTGTCCAGATACTGTGGGTGCACTTACTGTGGCCGCGCCGTAGATCTTGCCCCGTGTCTTTGTCTCAATGAAGAAATACATAAATGCAGGAATGAAAGGTAACCCGTAACAAGCCACTAGGTACTTTACCTCCAGTCGTCGCAACTGTTCAGAGTCATACTTGTGGAAGAAGGTCAGCCAGACATTGCAGGCCATAGCAAATGTCCACAGGGCATCAGCAGGCATAAACCTATTATTTCAAGTCAGTGATGGCTGCCATGCGACAATAGAGACATATGAAAAGCAAACCATTGGATAAGGAAGCCCTGGAACTGGCAGAGGCCGCTTGCAGTTCCCAACCGGACTCCTGACTGAGACATCAGTGTCGCGACATTGGCCATCATGTTGCCCCATGATGCATAGAACACTAGGCGATTGATGGGCTTGCGAAACGAGGAAGAGGAAAGGAAAGAAACGACGATGATGAAAGTTCCCAGGAGAGACACAACCGAACAAACACGCTCTGTTATCGAGATGGCTTGTAGTTGTGATCGCGATAGCGACATTGTCTCACGACGAGGCAAAGCTGATGCAAATAGCCACAGAACGAATCTTCATCCCCATCCTAAATTTCGCAGAGGCCCTGGTTAGATATATCAGATATCCCCAAGGTTTCTCCTACAAGTCGACAATGGTCGGGGCTCTAATGCCCATTCGAGGACATGATCCAAGCCCCTATAGTCTCGGCACTACCGATAATGTCGGGGTTCAACCTTCAGAAGTAGATGAGCCAATCGCTTCTGGGTGCAAACCAACATTGCGAGAGAGTCTGAAAAGAAACACGGTGGTAAATATTCATACGCCGTCGTGAGCTTTTCAGGACTCAAAACACCAAATGAGACTACTTCATACGTTATTCTCATTGTTATCGATTGAATGATGGGAGGCAGAGCCCCTGTTCAAAGGATTGGAAGTGACGAGATCGGTCTTCATGTCCCAAACGATTGTCCCAGAGCCATGGATAGGACGATCTTACCCTCATCAATTCCTCGAATTGTCTCTCTATCCTTATGTGGCATGTCCATCGACAGATTCATGCAACGAGCCTTACAGCAGGAGGAAATGGTGGTAGGTGTTGATGTTCAAGGGCGAATGAACCTTGTTTCTAGAAAAAAAAAAGGGGGGGGGATAGGAAATTAAATGATTGGTATAGGGCAATAGGCAATAACACCAGGTCAGCAGAGCAGGAACTTAGAGGATCATGATGCTCTTAGCACTTGCATAAAGAAACAGCTGGTGTAACAAGTTGGATTGGCGGCGGAGCCCTATCTGAGGATGCAATGTCGATCTTCATTTTCGGGTTAGGAGTGAGCACTAGTCAGTCTGGAGTGGAAGCAAGGAAGAAAAACAATCTGGAATTCATACGAGTACATTCCGAATATGTGCTGTCACAACTACAGGTCTCACCCCCACTTGATTCTTCATCATCGGTCCAGAAAGCATGGTTGTCAATCCCAATGAAAATATAGAGTACGGAAAGAAAGATTGCTTACTGGGTCATAACCTCAGTAATCACTGATCAGAACATGCATGCCTCCTGAGCCCTTACTGTGGATATGCATGGCCGCCTGATTGGGACCGATGCCCTGCATCGCAAGCGACAGGGCTGACGCTATATGCTCATTCAGGCGCCTGGCACATTACAATCTAAGAAACCACGAGTACCTGTACGGGGTGGTAGCGGATGGAGCAGGCACGAAATGATAATCAAACTGTAGATTGTGATTCCCTACTGGCGATATCATCTCGCATACGCTAATATAAGCTGAAAGAAAGACGGGAATCTGCGAGAACCAAGGGCAAACAAGAGAACACCACATCGAGCCCTTCTTCAAGTATAACGCCACGCTCTCCGTTCTAGAACCAATCCAAGTGCTTCATCATGTCCTTCATCTCATGAAAAAAAGTCAATACGGTGCAAAAGGTAAGATATAACCGCAGAGCACAAATCAGAACACGAGTTGCGATAATAGAAAGTGATAACTCTCGACTGCTGATGGCTAATACGCTTGCTGGGGAGGAACCATCCCGCCATATGCCCCGGACATCTGTTGCTGTTGCTGTTGCTGCTGCTGTTGCTGCAGCTGCGCCTGCAACTGAGGGAGATCGTGGAACCAAGGATGTTGCAGGGCGTCGTGGGCACTGATGCGCATCTCGGGACGAAGCTGGAGCATCCGATTCAATAGATCCAGTCCCAGAGGATCGATCTGGGGGAGAATTAGGCCAAGATCTTGGGTTGCATACACGTGGAAATTCGACTTATACTCCGGCAGTTGAGAGATGCCGGGCCATGAGCGCTCCGAAGGTGTGCCCATAAGACGGAAAATCTTTTGGAGTTGATCTTCATTCGTAGTGCCAGGGAACAGGGGACGACCGGTGTAGAGTTCTGCCATGATACAGCCAGCCGACCAGATATCAATACTCGTGTTATAAGTTCTGCTGCCTAGCAAGACGTCTGGGGCACGGTACCACAGCGTCACAACCTCGTTGGAAAAAGTGTTGACGGGAATACCGAAGGCACGGGCCAGACCGAAGTCCCCGAGTTTCAACTGTCCTTTCTTGTTGATAAGAAGGTTCTGGGGTTTGAGATCACGATGCAGAACCCGGTTTTCATGGCAGAAAGCAATGCCCTTCAAGAGCTGATGCATGAATGACTTGATGGTTGCCTGGTCCAGTTGACCCCGATCGCCCCGGGTATCCATGTACTTCTTGAGATCCTTATCCATATATTCGAAGACAAGCATCAGCTTGTTCTCTGTGTGGATCACATCGTATAGCGAAACAATACTTTCATGTTTGAGCTCCTTCATCAAAGAGATTTCGCGAATCGCGGTCGATGGCGTTCCTTCTTCGGAGTCTAGATGGATCTCTTTTAGGGCAACCAGCTCACCAGTTTGGCGATTCCGTCCTTTGAAAACCTAGGATAACCATCGGATAAGTATTTAGATCGACTTATAGTGTGGGTCGTCACCACGCGCAGCAGCGAAGGCGGGAAAGGGGGAAATCACATACGGTAGCATAGGTACCCTCTCCAAGCTAGAATCGACCAAGCCAGAGTTAGTAAGAATATCGAGAGTGTATAAGGGGTCGAAGATTAAGGCTCTTACCTTCTCCAGCTGCTGGAAAGAGCTGGGCTGTTGCTTGTCCATTGCTGGCGACGCGGTGGTGAAGGTTTCCTGTGCGACCGATGGTTGGGGGTGAAATGATGGCGGTTTAGGCCGCTGCGAGTGAGTGAGAAATGACTTGGGCGAAACGAGGGTGGAGATGAGGTCCAGATAGGCGGTACGCTGCAAGGAAGAATTGGAAGCAGGTCGTGAACTGTTGCGACTGTCCATGGAAATGATTGATGCTAGAAGGGCGGGCAACAACGGTTAAGTCAACCAACTGAGCCCCGCGCCTGGGTCGGAGATGGACAGGCGGAGAGAGAACCAGACAGCAGGAGGCAGCAGACTTAGCCCAGTACGTTCCAGGTTCCAGGTTACCGTACGGAGTCTCCGTACCTTCCCTTGACTTTGCCGCCCGGCTTGTCCTCCGCTACGGCCAGTCACCGGCAGGTACTGGACTTCGTGGGTAGCTAGATGACTATAAGTGTAGTATTTTCTAGAGGCAGTTAATCCTCTAACAGAAACTGCTCCGTTTCTGTTCTTTTCTGTTTTTTTCTGTTCTTTTCTGTTCTATTTTTTTTGGAATTCAAGATCGAAGAAGAGAAAGAGCCATTTTGTGTCTATACTACGAAATATTGTACTACTGTACATGCTGGCGATTATCACCGTTCACAATGAAACTCTATCCCCTTTCTCTCTCCCACACTCTCTTTCTATCGTCCTATGCACACGACACGACTTCTGATGGAATCTAATGAACCAAAATAGGGATTTGGGTAGCCACCGGAGCTAGAATTGACTCCGAAGGTAGACTAAGGCGAATAAATCGCGAGATGGCTTCGCGATCTCCTCCAAAGAGAACCGCTTCATTCCGGACGCCTCCAATATTGATGATCCCGATAGGCATGCCTCTTTTATAGGCTCGTTCCACTAAGCGCCAGGCTGAATACGTTGCGAGACTGCTTCCCAAAACCAGTAGTCTTCCAGCGTCATCGATCGCTTCTTCTGCCGCCGCCTTTACGGCAGGATCGATGTTCTCGCCGAACATGATGACGCCGGGTTTCAAAATCCCGGCAGTGGATGTGGGAAGCCAGGCCCCGTCCGCTTCAACTTCCACCCTTGCTAATGTACCATCGTGCAAACGCGGAGGCTTCTCCAGGCAGGTCGGACAGGATGGGTATCGGAACGTCGAGTATGGCGCCTCCGGCAGATCGACGTCACCATCGGGATTGATTTTCAAACCCCTCCGCCGTTGCTCCTCCCGGTTATTGGTATCCAAGGCGCCAAGATCAGTCATCTTTGCCAGAAACTCGGCCCAAGCCGGGTTGAGTCTTTCGAGCGATCTCTGGAAATCATCTCGAGGCACCTGGTTTCGGCAGTTGACGCAAACCACCGATCTTAAGTAGCCATGCAGCTCCAGGGTAGGCAGCTCGGGATGGGCGATGGAATGGAAGGAGTCCACGTTCTGGGTAATCACTGAACTGATATAGCCCTTGGCGCCGATGTCCCGGATGGCCAAATGCGTTGAATTGGGATTCGACTTCAAAAGGCCCGGCCACCCGATGAAACTGCGAGCCCAGTATCGTTTGCGGGACTCGTGGCGTGTGACGAATTCGTGGTAGTAAACCGGTCTATATGCTTTGTTGGTTCGATAAGTGCCATTCTCCCCTCGATAGTCGGACAAACCCGATGCGACCGAGATACCTGCGCCCGTTAGGAGCACGGTCTGGGCATGTCTACCGACGTCCACGCCACGCAGGTAAGGGGAGGGCGATGCTGTCAGAAATGATCGGAGTGCATCAATGGCACCCGCAACTGTACGAGCAGACGAAGGAACAATGATAGGAGGAGGTAAGGGCCCGGTAAAGGGGATCCTAATCGAAGGTGCAGTCATTGAGAAGCCTCATATTGGGAAAATGGAAAATGGGGGATGAGGCGAGGCGGAGTGGGCAGCAGGAATAATTAACTTGAGTTAGTTAATGAACGAATGTACAGTCCTTAGTAATAATCAATCATCGGATCCCGTCAATAATGTTGTCAGTATTCCGTAGTTAAGTCGACTTTGGTTAACTTTCCAACTCTTACTCAATCGGTAGTTGATTACTGTACAAGTACTGTAAGTAACTACAGCAATTTAGCCGCTGTCCGGAGTAGAGTACGCAGTGACCAGTCCGGGGGTCCAGACTAGTCGTCTCGTACTATATTGAGCTGGTAAGGTACTTACCTGTACGGTAAGTATAGTACACCAAGTAGTACTGTACCAAGTCAACGAATTCAGAGGAAGATCCCTGATTTACCCCGGATTGAATCACGTGATTATTATTTCCTTCTTCTTCTTCTTCTTCTCCTCCTCCTCGGCAGAGTCTGCGGACGTCATTTCTGGCTCTTTATTGTCAGTTCAATTCCCACCATTCAAGCAGAGGTAATTGAGCGTCAATAGGGAGCAGATCTCTATCACGCTCTAGCCAAATCTACAGCAATACACCATAACGACAACAACAAGAAAAAAAACCGGTCATGTTTCCCGCACAGACCGGCAATATCAATCTAGAAGCCCTGAGTGGAATATGTGGGTAGGTGGCCGCTCACCAAGCTCTACCAAGTTCCCATCGGATACGGTAGATCAATTCGTGTTTTCTCTTTCTTCTATACTGACGCAAAGACCAGATCGATCTCAATTGCCTGCTGGGTGGTCGTTTTTTCGCCTCAAATCATTGAGAATTTCCGCCGTGGATCCGCCGATGGCCTTTCACTGCTCTTCCTGATCGTCTGGCTTGCCGGTGATGTCTTCAACATCCTCGGCGCCGTGCTACAGGGTGTCCTGCCGACCATGATAATTCTCGCCGTCTACTACACCCTCGCTGACGTTGTCCTTCTCGCCCAATGCTTCTACTACCGGGGGTTCACCCTTCGAGACGAGGAGCCATCCCCGCGGCAGCGTGCCTCGGCAGCTTCCTCCATCCACGACGAGGAAGAAGCCGGCGATGAGGAGACGGAAGTGCCTTCCCCGGTGATGGCCCGCAAGCCGACGGAGCAGACCGCGCTCCTTGGCTCCCCCAAACGGCGCGGCGGCGGCCCGTCCTACCATGCCAGCAACACCACCAGCTCGGCATCCTCCGTAACCATCACCCCCTATCACCCGCAAGACCACCACCAACGACCGGCCCCGCTCACAAGTAGTCGTCGGCACTCATCCGCATCGTTCCTCCACCCCTCCATCGACGGCACCCATCTGTCCCCGGTCACGCCCTTCATCGAACCCGTCAAGGAACCTCGGCCCCCGCGCACGCTGACCACCCTGCAAACCACTCTCTTCCACGCCTCGGCCATCACCCTCGTCTGCGCCGCCGGCGTTCTAGGCTGGTACATCAGCCAACGCACCGCCCAGCCCTCCGGCGACGACGACCACCACCACCACCACGACACCTCTTCCGCCTCGGATGCGTCGCTCGAAATGGATCCCTTGGGCCAGGTCTTCGGTTACCTCTGCGCCGCGTTGTACCTCGGCTCGCGCCTCCCGCAGATCCTCCTCAACTACCGCCGCAAATCGACGGACGGCGTCTCCCTCCTGTTTTTCCTATTTGCATGTATCGGCAACCTGACCTACGTGCTGTCCATCCTGGCGTACTCGCCCGTCTGCGCCGCAGATACCAGCAGCCCGCGCGCGAGCTCTCCGCCCCAACCCTCCAATGATCCAAGACGGTGCTCCCCGGCCGAGCTCTCCACCAAATACGGTCAATACATCCTCGTCAACCTGTCCTGGCTGATCGGGAGCTTTGGCACATTGCTGCTGGATATGTGCATCTTCGTTCAATTCTTCTTGTACCAAGAAAACACGAGCGAGGAGGTCTCAACGGATGTCAGTGTAGACGAAGATGAGACCGTTCGCGGATGACGACGACGACGACGAAGCTGAAGCCGAAGCTGATGATATTGATGTTGATTATGATGATGATAATGAAAATATCTTATCGTTTTGGGTGAGTAGTCCTACTTTTTGACTACGGAGTTGGTGGTTTTGAAAAAAAAAAGTTTCCTCTTCTTTAAAGAAAAACCTTGATTTCCCTGTGGAATTATTGGTATATTGTCTGGCATATCTTTGGTCAACTTGGTATCTGGTATTCGCGAGTTCTGCCTAATGCGCCCCAGCCAGCGATCATCTTCATTCTCCACTGTATCTATACTATATACTTATGCGGACCCAAGAGCTTAGAGCAGAGATAATAGACATTGTATCTTGTCTCTCAATTTGTCAAATGTAGATTAATGGCTTCAAACGATGATTGGCAGTTACAACACCTTCTTGCCCGCCCGCAGCCAGTCTCACCTGGGAGCCGGAAAGCGAACATGACCAGATCCATCAGCCATCAGCTAACGTACATCCATCCCCTTAGGCTCCCTAATTCACGCAACACGTAAGGAAAAGCAAGATGCACCTTGAAAACACCCGCTGGTAATCAATTCCCCAAAGGACAATTTTTTTCTTCAACGCAGAACCTCCCGCAAAACTCCATGATCACCGCCGAAAAGGAAAGTTTCCATCCAGACAAAAGAGATGCGCCTCCCGCCTCATAGACCAGACTCCAGGCTTTACACCCCCTTGTAGACTGGAGATTCGTAGCATTGGGAGACGATGTCCCTCATCAAGTCAGAGAACTTGACTCAGTCACTCGGCGGGCTTACCTTCACCGGCCCTTGTCTGACCTCCTCCCAATTCGTACTCAACGATGTGCCTTGGCTTTCGATGTAACTCTTCATCATAGCGCGCCGGGTGTCCGGGTCAGCATTGGCGTACAGTTTCTTGAAGAACGAATCGACCGCGTCGCCGCCATCGGAGTCATTCCCTTCATCGTCACCGTCACCATCACCCACAGACTTGTCGTCGGGTTGGGAATCCTTGGGGGCCTTGGCGGTGAGGGTGGAGGCGAGCTTGTCCCAGTCTTTGGCGCCATGGCGGGAGGAAGTCGGGTATGCTGGGCCAGAAGCTGTGTTGGGGTTGCCAGCGGCCGTTGAGGAGGCGGCGGCAGCTGTCGCAGCCTGGCGACCCGCGAGCTTAATCGTCGACGGGGTGGATTCGAGGGCACTCCATTTCTGGCCGGGGGTCTGTTTGCGGAGGACGAGTTCGATCTTAGTGGACATGACGGTCGCCTTGGAGGTGGATGGGTCGATCGGGGCGAAGAGAGGGTCGAGGGTGAAATCGTATTGAGCACCGGAGGCGAGGGGAAACTGCAAAGAGGCCTGTTCGTGGGAGGTTAGGAGCGACGATCAACGTTATTACCCACAAGTTATGCAAGAAATGCACATACCGAGTCACTCTTGAGATCCACGTCCAATCGATCCTTGGGAACACCCTTGATATAGAGCGTCACGACCACCTGGTCTTGCGATTGGTACCACTCATGGCGGACCTTCGCAGCAGCAGTGGTCACCGCCGCATGAGCAGGAGCAGGGGCAGGAGCAGGCGTCTTCGCACCAGCACCAGCACCAGCACTCTCTTTCCCACCAGCAACAATCCCGTCTTGGCTGCTCACAGCTCTGCCCCCCTTCAGCGTCTCCAATTGCCCTCTTAACTCCCCCTCAGTAGGCACCTGGACCCCCTCGGGCACCTCGCCAACCGTCACCCCAACAACCTTTTCATCCGCACACCCCTCCTCGGCCAACTTTCCCAACCGTCCCTTAACCTTGAGCAACCAGATCGGCAACTCCTGCTCGAACCCATTCTTCGAACCCGCGGGCTTGTTCGCCACCGACATCGCATTCATGAGCTTGTCCTCGACCCCCGTGCCCTTCCCGTCCGCAGCCTTCGCCTTGTCCGCAGGACCGTTCACCTTCTCGTCAACCAATCTGAACACAAACCCCGCATCCCCGAACCGTCCCAGCTGGAAAAGCGCCACCGCGCGTCGCATCTGCGCCGCGAGGATCAACTCCCGCTTGCCGCGTTCCCGGGCCAGGAGCACCGCGACCTCGGCATCCCGCAACGCCGCGAGCGAGTCGGCGGGTTTCAGCCGCGAGAAGGCGGTCGAGCGTTTGATGTAGTAGGCCGGGGCACGTGGGGAGGCGAGAAGGGCGGTGGTGTAGTGGAGGAGGGCGCGGGGGTAGTCGGACTGGGTGCAGGCGGCGTCGCCTTGGGATGCGGCGTCCATTTTGCGCGTGTGTGTAGGGGCGTGTTTGTGTGGGTGTTTGTCTTGCTTTTCGTCTTTAACTCCTTTCGGAGTGGGAAGTAGAATTCGGGGGAATCTGTAGAATGACGAGGTCGGGTTGAGGACTTGGTGTCTGGGTCGTTGGTGGGGCAGTCGGTTGAGCTCTGTGATTGTGTCAGCGCTAGCTAGCAAAGGCAGATCCACTAGAAGTACAAACACTGAAGAGCTTCGATACACATCTCTTGTAAGAGGAAGCGAGCGCAAACAAGGGTGATGAATAGGAAGAGAAGAGAAGTGAAGCGGGGAACAACAGCAAGGCAAGGGAAGGAAGTAGAAAGTTGGAGAAATCGACCTGCGGGGAAAGAAACAAAACACAGCCACGTGATCCATACTCGGAAGATTCGTACGAAGTAAGTTACCCTGCTTTTAAACCCGGTATTTGAACTTTACGAATGATTATTCTGATTACATAGTATGATTTAGGTCTTGAATGTACTGTACAGATAGACAGAGGAACACAGCCGATCTATCTCTATCTCACAACAAGGAATCATTGCCGAATTTGCGTGCATACAATCCCAAAGCCCGGATCGGCCAGTAGAGCTTGTAGTTCGGATAAGAGATCATACTGACCCATTCACATTAGTAGGCAACCAATAGATTTCCGGGAGGGAACAACTTACCAAGATTGATTGAATACCCCTTCGATGGACTCCTGCAGCCACTCGCCGTTGGCTTGCTGTCGTGACATCAGCAGCTTCATCGCCCGCTCCAATGGTTCCTTGTGAGGATAGCCCGCCTCCATCAGGGCTAGACAGGCCCATGCCGTCTGTACCACCTGTGACGTCTCATGTTGCACATACACGTGTTTCTCACTGCTGAGATACGACTCACCCCAGCCACCGTCTTCTTTCTGCTTCGACAGCAGGAACTCGCAGCCGCGGCGGGAGTCCGCGCTGGTCTCGTACGTCTCACCGATGCTCGCCAGACTCTCCAACGCAAACATGGCCGCGTAGGTGAAGCAAATCCCCCACGATCCATACCAACTGCCATCAGCCCGTTGCACCCGCTTGATATACTGGACTGCCCGCTCCTTGGCGGCTCGAATCTCATCCGCGCGGTAGTCAGGGAAGTACTTGCTGAAGAGTGAGAGTGCAGTCACGGAGGCCGTCGTACACTCCGGGTAGTCGTAGCCTATCATGATGCCACCGAAGACCTCCGCCGCGTTAAGCCACTCCAACTTAGTTGACCCGCGAGTGGTCTCGTATTCAGTGAATCCCCCGGATGGATTTTGCATAAGCAGCAAACAGTCCACACTATCTTTCAGTCGCTGCGTCGAAATCAACTTCGGGAAGCTGTGCATCTCTTGTAGCTGGATCGTAGCCCGCAGTCCCTCAGCAGTGCAGTCACTCACCGTGTAGCCCTGCGTCTTGGTGCTGAACGGCCACGCGCCCTTCCGATGCTGGCGATAACACTTCTCCTGATCCGGGACATTCTCGCGCATCTGGTGGTCTTCCACGAATTCCAGCGCCTTGGTCAACATTGGCCGCCACTTCGGGTCCGCCGCAAAACCAGCCACAACAACAGCCTGGATGATGAAGGTGGTATCCCAGACCTGCACTCCGTTGGTGCCGTTCATCAACATGCCCTCATCCTTCATCCACATGTAGTCATTCAAGCGCTCACGGTGCCGGCGTACCGAGTAGCTATCGGGGCCGTCATGTTCATAGCACGCGATCATGTTCATAGGGTTGCTGACCGGCCCCAAGCCAGCGTAATCCGTGTTCTCATCTTCCATCCGGATCAGTTCCCAAGTCCACTCTTCCGCGCGGCGGGTCACTGCGGAAACCCGGAAATAGGGATTCCAGAAACTGACGAGAACCGAGTTCAGCGTGTTCAGTAGCCACGTCTTCGGGTAGTAATTGTCCGCTGCGTGGATTGAGTTGCGGTGGCCGGCAAAATCGATCGAATCATATGGTTGCGTATACAGCTCTTGCCGAAGCTGCTTGGTGATAGGGTCCAACGGATGGGCGAATTTCTTAGACCACAGATAAGACATGGGCAGGAAGACCTGCCGAATGTGAATCCACCACCGCCAAGGGGCAAATGGCACCCAGTCCGGAAGCAACCTAAAGCCCAAGTCAGCATTTCTCTACCTCACACCGATAACAGCAAGCCAACATACCAGATCTCTGGCGGAACAGGATTCACGCAATCCCACTCCATCACACCCAGCACACTGAGGAAGAACTTCGCCCAGTGAGGTCCATAGAGCGCGCCTCCAAATTTATGAAGCAGTCCGCGGGCCTTGACCATGCGGGGGTCGTCTTCATTGACCCCAACCAGCCGCAGCGCGACGTAATTCATACACGTCCCGAAGACGGAGCTATGAGCTTCGATGTGAAGACCCCAGCCACCATCCTCCGGATGCTGCCGAGCAAAGAGGTATCTCTTGATCTCGGTCGCATTTTCCGGGGGGATGGGAGTGTGCGTGACATAGTAGGTGATAATCAGGCCCGGAAGCAGGAACATAGGCCCACCGTACTCGCAGGCCCAATTGCCCGGCTCGAGCTGTAGCTTTGAGAAGAACTCCAGGCCGTTCTCTGCACATTGAAGCGGAGTCTTGGGCGTTGGAAGTTCGGGAAGACCCTAGAGCTCAGCCCGATTAGAGAAAATAGCTTAAGCCAACGAAGAGCACCAGAGAGGATAGATATACCGTGGGTAAACCCAGAAAGTACTTATCGGCCACCGTCTGCGGCCACTTCTCACACTCCTCATCCGATTCGAGATAGTGCCACGTTTGGCGACCGCGATCGTCCCGTAGTCGCCAGCGAGTGTAGTCCGTTTTGGTATCTCCATGGTCATCGGAAGTCAAATGGCCCTGGGCCGGGGTTCTCCACGGAGCGATATGTGTTCCCGACATGGCTGCTGCTATGGAAGAAGGGGGGGAACGATACGAAGCGAGACAGGTCAATGGCACAACAATAATAGTCTAGAAGCTAGACACTAGACTGGCAGAGAGGCATTGACCAAAAGCAATTGAAGCTTCCCTGCGTTCTACGGGGGGTCTCGCAACCTGGCCTAAACGCTTTTCAAGATAAGTTAATTAGTAGTAGTTAGTTGTAGTTGAGGTAAGGTAAATCAAATCAACACACATTCTTGATCGACGGAGCTACCCGCTTAGTCACCCATCAGGGGGTGTGGTTGCCTAATCAAGACATGCCGGTAGTACGCACTTGAATCTGACATATCACATGTAACTAACTAACTAGACAGGATAACAGGATAACAGGATAACAGATAGAAAGAACAATCACATAGAATCATCCCTAACGTTCCCAACGTCCCCAATATCCCTTGGCAAGAGACATCAGGTCCTGATTAAAGATTACTACTGATCTGAAGGACAACATCTCCAATCCAGGGCTCGCAAGCCCAAATGGTTCTGAGGTATCAAGTATGCAAAAACAACCACAACCACAACAACACCACAAAATCAATTTACCAAGTCCTCCGGGTATCAATCCTGCCCTATCCTTCCATAACCATAAACTTCTCGATCACTTCAATTCATTTGGCCACCCCCACAGCGGACGTCTCCTGAGCCGTCACTGTAGGGTCCACCTTGACAGGCTCCGCGGTCGAGGACTCCTGTTTGGGCGCCTCAACTGGCACTTCTTCAGCCGGGATTGCAATTTCCTTCGAGCCCTCGGCGTCCGGCGTCGGCTCGGGAGCCGCGGCGGGAACAGGAGCACTCTGTTCCAACTTGACGGTATAGCCACCTTCCTGCAAGGCGGGACCGGTGCCGCCGTAAGAGTGAGGAAACTGATCCTTCAGAGCAGGGAACTCCCGAGCCAGATTGGCGCCGTTGGAGATGGGGTGGAATTTGCGCGTAGTGTTCTTACTGAGGAAAACCTTCATCGCGGCGAACATCCAGCCCATGATGGCAGGAACATTGACGAAGAACTTCTCGCGCAGCAGTTCGGGGTAGGCGGTGGCGAAGACCTCAATAGTCTTCTTGGTGGCTGCGCGAATGTTGGGATTCAAGCGGAGGAAGCTGACGTTCAAGTAGTCGTGGACCTGGAGCATCTGGTAGGGATCCTCTCCCTCATAGTCAATCACGGTCGTAGCCTCGCCGAGCTTCATATCCTTGACTGCCAGCTCCATGAGTGCCACACGCCACCGGATGAACCTGAATTCAGGTTTAGCTTCGCATTGACAGCATATTCTCAAAGGGGGGTCACATACTCATCTGAGTCACCAAACGTAGCTTCCACGTTTTTGACACTTCCATAAATATTCCACGTAACAATAACCTCCTGGCCGTTCGCCTCGGTGTATTTGGTCACATAGCCAAGACCACTGAACTTCTCAGCATTGTATTGACCTTCAGTCAGCGCGATGGGGTTCATCTCCTTGCGCCATTGCATAGCCTTGGTGAGCTGCTCCTCAGCCAGCTTGACATTGCCCTCGTTAGCGCGCAAGAATTTGATGAGTACGTTGACCGTGGGGATATCGTTGAAGTCCTTCAAGGTCACTCCCCACATCTCAGCATGGCCGGTCGCAGAGAGAATGGCAGGCAGGCGATCGAAGAATTCGGCGAGAGCGGGGGTTTTAACCAGATATTCCGGTTGAGCAGGCTGCTCCTCCTTGGCCTCCTCCTTAGGTTCTTCCTTGGGTTCTTCCTCTTTGACGCCATCCTTTAAAGGTCCTTCCTTCGCTACTTCCTCGTTCTTTGCCTCTATAGCGGGAGCAGTCTCGGTAACGGGAGCTTCGGTGGTGGCGGGAATAGAAGGAGCAGCAGCGGTAGCGGCGGCGGGTATTTGAGCAGGTTCCGCGGCCATCTTCTCCTCGGTCGTCATCTCCGGCTGAGGTTCAGCGATAGTGTCGGTAGTAGCAGCAGCAGCAGCGGTAGCAGACTCAGCAGACGCAGGCTGAGGGGCCTCAGGAGTAGTGGTGGTAGCAGGCTGCGACTCAGGAACGACTGGAGTCGTCGTCTTCTCCTGGTGATGGGACATGGTGGACTGGGATGCTAAGGAGTGGTTCGCTAAGAAATGGAGGATTTCTGTCAGGTCGCAACGTGGTCGAGTGACTGACCACAGAAATGAATAGGTGATCAATGGAGAAGTCAAGGGATGAAGGAGGAATTCAGAGGAGATGGAAGCGAGGGAGAGACGGAACGAGGGAATGAGAGAGGATGACGAGAAGAGCGAAAGCGGAGAGAGAGAGAGAGAGAGAGAGAGAGAGAGAGAGAGAATACTAGGTAGGCTCTAATTACAGGGATGGACAACAGAAACAATAACAACAATAACAACAACGGATTAACCATGTAGCAGCTAGGCCACTGGCCACACAAACTACGGAGTAAGTTACTATTTACTGTACCTCTAGTACTACGAAACATTTGTTCAGAGATTATTCAACCTGAAACTGTCTAACTAACTAGTTCTTGGGTCTGGGGGTCTAGACTGTGGAGCTGCCATGGCTCCGCGCTGGACGATTGATAAATGATAACAGCCTCGGAGACCAACTCACTAAACCCCAACGGTCGCTGGCTAATTTTAACTCTGCTGCAAGGGTGTTTCAGAATGAGCCCAGGTTGAGATGAAGCTGAAAAAGAAGATGGAGAGAAGGGGGAGGGGGGGAAAGCAATAACGGAAGGAAGAAAAGAAACAAAAGGCAGAGAGAGAAATGACAACTCATTTCACAGCGCGGCTATCAGTTCTGCTGCCCCTGACAAAATGCAGAAAGCCCGGCTTTTGAGAGAGAAAAGACTCGTAACTATGGCCTGACCATCTGATACATCAATCGGTGTTGCTGCTATTCTCGGCTCCGGGTCCGGATGGGATGCCCTACGGCTATTTTTATCCTCTCCCTACACCTTTTCATTCATGTACAATCCTTCCTGGTCACTCCCTGGTGCATCTGGATTCAACGAGGTAAATCACGAGTCCCCTTGCAGGAATCCTTCCCTGCTTTGACCACGGGAGAGATTCCACAGATAGACAGGCAAGAACAGGTTCAATCGGATTCATGCATGCGGTCAGTTAGCTATGTCCATTTCATCTATCAGACTAGCCAGCTCAATCCATCCTCAGGAGTAGAAATAACAAAGGGGGAATGGAAAGGGAAATAAGAAAAGTACAGTGAAGGATTTACAGTTCATAGAACACATATAGGCCCGTCTGGACCAGAAGCCAACGCTTGGGAATATACAGCTAGGAAATGAATGCAGCAGGTATTGAAGATGAAATGATCAGCACATCAGAGAACCCTCTGGTTGCTTGGGCTAATCAGATCTGGTGCCGTTAAGAAACTGCGTTGGGATCGGGGGCATGGGCGGTGGCGCCGCGGCGGCTGAAGATCCCTCCTCCGTTTCGTCCTCGTCCTCATCCATCTCATCCACCTCGGGATGGCTGCAAAAAAAATCGTCAGTTACTCACCCAATCTGGGAGGAGGTGTGTGAAAAAAAAAAGGGAACCTACGCCAGGAGTTCTTTGATGTTGCGCATCTCATAGTGCTTCTTCCGGTGCTGCTCAAACTGACGATGTTTCTCTGCGGCCTCTTGCGACGTGATTAGCCCATCGGGCCCGGACTGATATTCCCCGTTCGCCTCGCCCGCACCCATCACCACATGCTTGTTGCTTCGGTGCGACTCGTTGCTCAAGCTCCGCTCGCGCACAATTCGGTCATCAGCCCCAGCGTGCGCATCCCCAGGAAATGAGTCTTCCGGCTCGCCCAACTCCAACTCAGGGATTTCATCCTCGGCCACTCCCTTCTTGGGTGCTTTCATGGTCTTGTCCAATTCATCTACCACCACTCCTTGCGCATCAATCAAAGTGTTCTCGGCCTCGAGCTCCTCCTCGTCCTCAGCAGGGTCGTAGTGGGGTGCAAACGGAGTTTTGGGCTCGTCGATCTTCATCTTGGCCGTCTTCTCCTGTTCGGTCAGGTACAAGTTGGCCTCGTCCCATTTCAAGCGCGGCGAGTTCTCTTCCGGTTGACCGTGGATGTGCGCCAATGATTGTCGCCGAGACGATGATCCCGGGCGCGTGTTCGAGGTAGAGCGACGGCGACCGGCATTTTGTAGAGTGTTTTGCAGCGTCAGCTCCTTAGTGTCCACCCCGTCGGGGTCGTTCTGCGGAACGGTCAAGGTGTCATGAACTTGTGCGATCTGCGGAATCGAGCCACTAGAATTCTTGAGGATACCTGGTACCCAAGAAATTAGATCGAAACGTTCCTAGTCATGGCCCATAAACAGGATCACGTACCCTTCGGCCTCTTCTGGGAGTCCTCCATCATGTGGTGCGAAATAGTGGTCATTATAGTCGGAGAAGGAAAAGTATATTGCTTCGAGAAAGGTAGTGTAAACGGATCTCTGACTGAATTGAGAAATTTGAGCAGCGAGGCAGTTGACGAAGGAGTCCAGCTATATCAAGGACGATCGAAGGAAGGCGGAGGCGGAAGACTAGACAAAAGGGAGAGAATCAAGATGGGAAGATGTATCTTTGAGGTTAGATCTGACAGGGATCAGACGAGTCAGCTGCTATTGAAATTCACAAATGCAAGGCCAGCAACTGAGGCTGAGCTGAGCTGACCAAAAGCCTCAGCCTCCGATCGAGCGGTGACAAAAGTCTCACGTACAACTAAATGTACAGTACGGGCTGTACTGTACAGAAACTGTTCAGAAGCTGATTCCCAAGCTTCTTTCGTGTCAAAAAGGAACCACGGCGCGATAAGTGGAATTGTAGGGAAGGAAGACTGCGAATTACAGGCAAGCAGATAAGGCAGAGGGAGGTGGGAGAGAGATGGGGAGGGGAGAGGGAAGGGGAGGGGGAGGGGAAAAAGATGGAAATGTACGGAGTAGAAGTCGAAGGGAGAGAGAGAGAGAAAGTGGCACGTGGGGCTGGCTGGCTAAACTGCCTCCTCCGACGATGACGTCGGGAGCGACACGCAAACAACACTACCTAACAACCACTTTTGCTACCTGAGCACCTGAGGGGGCGACTACTTCCAAGTAACTGGCTAGTCACCCTGCCCATCTTTGTCTTTGATGGCTAGTAGCTACTCACTAAGGTGTTCCTAGTCCTACTCACTGCCAGCTTTGCCAAATCAAGAGCTATCCTTGTCATCTTCGTCAATCCTGGAAAGGGCCCGAGCCTTGAATTCGTCATAGGTATGGCAGATCTATATAACTCATCAGTTTGAAGACCTATGCAGGTATTGGCAGGAATATACGCAGAGAATGAAAGTATTGATACGTAGATTACTTCGAGATCTCGTCTTCTGTCATCACCTGACGCTGATGCGGCCACTCCTGTTCAACACTATAACTCTACATTTGGTGCTTGCACAGCTCATCCCTCCTAGAGCACACCTAGAAAGAAAGAAAAGAAGGGAATTAACAAGAATAATAGGGACGAGAGTGTATCAGGAAGCAAGTAATTTAAATAACACAAAAATAGCAGAGAGCCGCCCTAGGGGGAAAAAAAGAGGGAGAAAAAACAATGGGTAAATGTATAGGGGAATCTCATGACCTTGCCATGCTCCCCAGGAGAGGAGCCACAAACCAGAAATCAAAACATCACGCGCCACAGGCACCTAGACCCATTCACCCCAGAACAAAGGATATCAAGAAAGCCGCACATCTACATGCACAGGGATCAGTCGCGTTACGCGAACCGAGGTGTCTTCGGTCGAAAGCAATAAGTCATCAATGGTATCAAGTCATAAGATGTGAACGGAAAGTAAAACGATTTTAAAAGAAAATCAGAAGAAAGAACCAGGGCAATCCGAGCAGAGAAGAGACTATAAGTGGAGCAAGCAGGAGAACCTAAATATGACTCAAAGCACAGGCGCAGAAGTGTTGAAAGAATTGTTGAAGAGGGCAGTAACATCTATGCGATGGACTCGAACTCCTCGCGCTCACGAAGTCGATTCCGTGCAAGCTCATCTCCGCCGGTGGCCGACAGCTGCATCCAGTGCAGGGCTAGACACATGCTCTGAGGGTCGGATTTCGAGTCCTTGTCGCGGCGATACATCATCTCCGCCTTAAAGGTGTCACGGAGCAAAGTGAGCGGGAGTGTCACCCGCGGCAGGAGCTCGGGATGGGTGAGGTAGAGGATCGCCAGCTCCCGCTGGGCAATTGGATTGCCCTCCTTGGCTGTAATGATCCACATGCCAGCAGCATCTTCAATGGCATGTCCAGCTCGGGAATGGGGTTCGTTTCCAGCAGGATGGCGCCGGCTGAGCTCTTGAGATACGATATTGTCGGCAATCTCAACCATGCTGTTGCATACTTCATCCTTGAGGCTCAATGCTGCCAGACCAAATTGCAAGAAGGCGGTCCCACAATCGGTCTGGTTCAGCGTCTCGCTCGGAACAAAGGCCGAGATGAACTGAAGATCTCGGAAAAGAGTCTTGGGCTTCACCTCAAGTAGCAAGCTTCGCAGTGCGTCGACTATTTGGTGCTCACTGGGGGCGCTGTAGTCTGAAGGGCGGCAGTCAAAGAGGACAGACTCAGCGACGGCGGAATTAGGCGTATCAAGAGCGGCTTTGTCATGCACACGCTTCGCCTGGGACTCTGAAAAGCTGTGTCGAGCACTTCTCTTTCCCTGCATTCCGGCGCTGCGTCCTCGCTGGCATTTGAGGTCTTGGGAGGCAGTAAATGAACCCAGCTCCTCGTTGGTTGTATTGAGGGAAGCGACCACCAATGCTCGTAGATCGCGCAGTGCCTTGAGCTTGACGAAAGGGTTGCCATGTCGGGAAAAGACCTCGATCAGACGATGGAAGATGGCGCTGTACGAGAATTGCGGTACATCTTTTCCAAACTCAGTGTTATTCTTGCAGGGAGAACTCAAAGGGGGTTCAGGGTCCCCGAGCAGTAGGCGGTCTGACGATCCAAGGGATTGGCTTCGCGTACGATTAGATGGTGCACGGTGCAACACATCGCGGACAAGCCGCTCATCACATTCGGTGTAGAATCTTTGAATACGAGCGCGCTTCTTCATCTGCACCTGGATGCGTTGCTGGTTCAGTGCATTAGTGAACCAAGCATCAGTTTCACTGCCACAACTCCAGACGGGAGAACCCAAATCGCTGAGAAGCAAGCTCGTGAGAGTCTGTTTGAGATCATCTATGAAAGCCGCTTTTCCATGCGTCTTGCGGTCATCTCGGCGTGGTTGTTGTGCACTATTATCACTGAACATCGATGGAGGTCGAGAAAAAATACTAGATGAGCTAGGAGCATACTGCGCTGATTGATGTGGCGTCGACCAGAAGGTGCTGTATGAGTCGCCCGTGGTGGTCGATGCTGCTCTTCCTGGCGATCCCCCAATGGAGGAGGTATCTGCAAGTGAGGGATCTCGAGGACCTCTCCACTTGTCGGACAACAGACTCTGATTGGAAGCTTTGTGGTTCAAGGACGACGCATCGGACGAATACCGCGAGATAGAGTCAGCTGGACGGAACTGATTGCCATATCCCTGCGAGGGGTTTGTGAAGTCCCCGCTAGGGGCGTTGAACGGGCGAATTGAAGATAGACCGAGGAAGTTTCGATGGGACGATCCTTCGTACATCGCTCGTTCCTTGTGGTAGAGCTCACTGGCCCACAACACGGGGGTCTCTACCATGCTCTCCCCGACAAGCCGATTGATACTGGCTTGGACTTCATAACAGAATCTGTGGATGCGCTCTTCGCCTTTGCAGAAGTTGTCTATATTGTTATGAGATAGCCATTTGCGGATCAAATCCACCTGCTCATCTGAGAGCTTGTTAGGGCCACCTTGACTGCTGGGCGCTTTCATGATGTTCATGACCTGCAGCTCCGGCTTTTGGAGAAACGCGCTGCCAAATGATCTCGCGTTACCACGAGAACGGCCCTCATATGGCGTTTGCTTATGCGGACGAGCGGAATAGATCATCGTCTTGAGAGCCAAAGCAACGTTTTTGGCATCTTCATACCTCATCGAATTTTTCACATCCGTCACGTACCACATCTTGTTGCGAAGACCAGCCACGGTGGCCATCATATCCTTGACCAGTTTCTGCAATCGCCGAGTCTGTCTGTGGAGTGCAGTAAACTCGGTTTCACAACGCTCGATCACGGCCCGTGACATCTGGAGGGAGCGGGCACAGGAAGTGTGCATTGGCTCAAGGATCCATGTGTCATCTGCAAGTCTGGTAGAAGAACTTGCGACGCTGCGAAGAAGCTGGCGGCCCGCATTCCACCAATAATGGGCACCAATGAAGTCGGATTCGTGGTGGCAGTGCTGCATCGCTTTGTTGAAGCGTTGCTTGAGCGATGCGCTATCTGCCATAGAAAGACTTTTGAGATGCCGCAATTCGACATCAGCACCGTCGTTGGAAGGACTTTCCTGAATCAACTTCACAATGGCCGTCTGTAGAGCTTCAAGGTTGTCCTCCGACTCTAGGGCGGCGGATTGAGCATCTTCAGCAAAGGTACTGTCCAAGAGTGAAGTCTGGCAGTCGTCAGCGAATAGTCCCCATGCCAATCTACCCTGCTTGGAGATTGAAAAAACAGCCCATTCTTCCGCGGCCGGAGGTTCCAGAATAGCCCGACCATCGGGCCCACACATTTCTGACAGCTCATACCGAATCCTGTCGGCATTACGGTTAATGCTTTCCTCGGCATTTGAGAGAAGATTAATGGCGGAGGCAAGCAGACCCTGGCCCTGGGTCGCATGCCTGGGAAAGAGTTCAACGACAGGTTTGAAAAACCCGGGCTCCGCCACAGCAGTTATCGGTCTTTCTGAGAAGATAGAGGGAACACTTGGAGAGGCAGAGACCCCGGAAGACGACATTGGAGAGCCGCTCATTGAGGCGGATGACCTAGGGTAAAGCGTATTGAGTAATGTAAGAATATCTGCACCAGAAAGCATTATAGACCCGGCAGGTGATTGCTGCCCACTCGAGTACTTGCGAGTCGATTGTGCTGGGTCGGAGTCCTTGCCCAGTAATTCAGGTTGAAAGCGGCTGAGCATGCTTTCCACCCGACGCCTTACAGTCAGGCGGACCATCGAATAGTGGTGCCTGTTGAACAAAGACTGGTTAGATATGATTATCAAAAGGCTTTGAGTTTGACTACCGTAAAGGCTGGATACTAACATTGAGCGTAGTATGGCGTAGACTTGTGAATACGCACGAAGGCCCACCTGTCCGAGAAGTTTCTCGCGGGCATCATTACGCACATGAAAGTCAAGGAGAAGACCATGCGCCTGGACACCAGTCAGCGGGGGGGTGGGGTTCTGTCTCATGCTTGCTCGGGGTGTCTTCATACCTCTGGGAAAGTGAGTGCGCCGTATAAGAATTTGGCGAAGAACCATTGAACGAATAACAATTCGAGAAACCGGTTACGGTCATCCCGATGCTCTAGTTTCTGTAATGTAGCACAGCTTAGTTGCATCACGGCTTGTGGAAACCCTCCATCTGGGTCATCCAGGAGTTTGAACAACGCATCTACTGCAGAAGCAAAAAACTCCTCGGCCACATCTGTTCGTAAAGGATCAGGCGGTTCCACATCCACATCCAAGCCTGGCGGGGGTTCTACATGCTCCAGAAGGAAAGCGCCGGCTTGTAGCATATCCATGAGATAGAGTTCGAACTTCGGCTTCACTTTCCACTCACTTCCCGTGGCCCAGGCAGTCAAGATGTAGGGAATAAGAGCACCATGCCTATGTCCGTCCTGGGTCAGAAGCTTCGCACAGACGGAAGACCAAACATCTAAACGTAATCGTGCTTCCGCGGCATCGGTATCCAGAGGGGTTGCAAAAACATTGAAGAGCAATATTGAGAGGGCATCTTTGCGTTCAAATGCCAGAGTACGGTCCTTGTACGGAAGGGAAGCGGCCGAGCTGCGCTTCATCCCATGGGACCGGGACCGGGATGCTGCCGAGGACGATAGATCACTGCCAGATTCCCATGGGGCACCAGTGGACGAGACAAGGGCTGCCCGTTGGGTCGGAGTCAATACCCGCAGTTTTTCAAACACAAATTGTGGATCGGTGCGGACCAGATGTAGAATGTCAAGCAAATCAGTCCTGGATTGGGGGCTCAGCTGGAGGAAAAAGTCCGGAGGACGGTCGACAACCGACGACCGAGTATGCGGCCATCCGTCCAGCGGATCCTGCCGCTGGAAATGGCGCTGAAATGTCGCATTGCACGACTCCTGAAAATCAACGAGAGTTTGATAAATAGTAATGAAATTTCCCTTGTCGTCGTGGCGGAGCCGGTCGACCAATGCCCTTTGGGCAGCAGCTCCGACACGGATCAAGCGAGCGGAAACACCCACAGCGACTTTAGTGGCATGTAAGTGGCCTTCCAATCGCTTTCGACTGGCTTGTTTGTGCTGATTCTGACGGTATTGGCTGGCCAGGTCCTCAAAGGTAATCTTGGAATGTTCCACGGCTTGAGTAGAGCGCTGGGTGTCCTGAGGTCCATCCACGGTGCAATTGGCCGGGGCAAGGTGTTGCGAGCTTGAGCAGCTCAAATTGCCAGACTCACCTACGATACAGTGCGTCATCGAGTCTGAAGAAGCCCGCAAGGGGGGCGTAATTGCAGTCACAGCGGGAGTGGAAGGTTGAGGCGCAGCCTCACATGGCGAGGTGGCTTGAATGGACGAAGGAATCAAGCCTGGGGCACGAAGGGCAAGGAAGAGTTGTCAGCCAATGATCAAAAACACTGGCAAGTAGTCTTATGGTTTCAAAGGCAGATTGATTGCATTAACCTGAGCGATTCGAGCGACATGTAAGGCGAAGGGGGACGAATTTGTGGGAAATTTCACAGAAGGGGCGGACGGAAAAAAAGCAACCTGCGGACTTACAGGTCACATAAGCCGGGGTTGATGGACGACCATCGACTTGGGCATCGGACATTGTGGTGTTGCCATGGGCAGGTTCCCGGCCAAATAGCCACGAGGAAGACGGTCGAGGTCGCAAGGCGCCTTTGGCGTGGATATCTTCCTTCCTATCGCATGATTTCCCTAGAGTTGTGGTGGATGGCGGACGGTGGTCCTCACGGGTGAAGTGTAGAAGCTGTAGCTGCTGAATGGTGGACACGATGGCGCGCTCCAGATTGAGCTGGAAAAGATCGAAAAGGAAGAGGGAAGAAGATGGAAGGAGAATGATGGAGGAGGGAAGTGAAGAGATCGTTGGTTCAGGGTAGCAATATGATGTAGGTATGGGATCTCAACCGAATGTAAGAACCAGTGGATGTGCGCAAGGCGGTAGGTCAATGATTATAGTTGGAAGATAGTAAGATCAAGATGACCGAGTTCAGGTAATTAGTGTATCGAAGACTAATTAACCAGCGGGTAAGGTAGAGTATATTCCAATAATGACGGAGGATTCTACTGTGTCGGATCCACAAATCTTCGATCGAGGAATGCGGAAGCAGAGTCCAGGTAAGAGAAGCGCAGATATATCTATCGAATGGCGCAAAGTCGCAGTGTAAGAGGCTGTTCTTAGTATTGACTGAAAGGGTGAAGTGGCGATGGACAGGATAATAGACCCCGACTTGATCCGGACGATAAACGAAAGGAGCGGGGGAGAAGAGGGACAACTGGCCGACCGGGCTGTGGGCGGGAAAATGAGGTATGACTTGCAGCGAAGGCCAGCCGTAGACAGAAGGGGGAAGAGGAGGAAGAAAAAGAAGAAGAAGAGGGAAAGAAGGCAGAGAGAGGAAGGAAAAGCAAAAGAAGTGGAATAAGTGGAAGAAGCAGAGACAACAACGACAACAACAATAACAGCGGCGGCGGCAGCAGCAGCAGCAGCAAAGTTTAGTGGGTTAGTGGATGCCAGCAAATCGAGCAAACCCAGATTAGTTTAGACTACTACTGTAGTTAGGTGTAGGTACGGTAGAAGATAATAGTCACACAGTCGCAGCTGATGATGATGAAGAAGGAGAAGAAGAGGAGATTAACAACTTGTTGAATAACTACTCCGTAATGAATAATATTGATCATGTGTGGGGGATATTCTCAACCACAGATGGGGGACTAACCACGGAGTACGTCAAGCTAACTTCTGGCAGACTAGCAAATAATAACTACAGGAGTACTCCTCCTCGATGACTATAATATCCATCCAACAGTAAATCCTTCTCCTTCCTTCCTTCCTCTCTGTCTTGCTTCGTCCAATTTTTTTTGTCCCTTCGAGGTACGGGCAGCACTATACATCACACGGAGAATAGCCAAAGACGGCGGTGGTGACTCGAATCGGACACATGCAGCAGCAACCTAGAGAGGAGGGGAGGGGGCAGGAGAATAGAGAATAACTAACTAATCATGATCTCTCCAGCTAACTTATTTGCTGATGATGATGCAGACAAATAAAAAGTGCAAAGACAATAATGAATTTAGGAAAAAGAAAAAAATCAGAAATAAAGAACATTAAAAAGGCCCGGTGGGAGTCCAGACACGGTACCTTGCCGGGGGTCCAGGCGGGCAAGCGGTACCTCCCGGGTACCTGTCCCAGACTATTCTACTCAGTAACTTATACTCTATACTGCTCTACTCCGCGTACAGTACTCTACTTCCTTCGCAGCAGTCTTATCAGCCACTTCGTAGAATAACTACACGCATATCTCAGCGTCATCTCACCCTCCCTAAATGAAGGGTTGGATGTGGTCGGTCTTGCAGGTAATTGTCCGTCTGATCCATGCCCCCCTCGCTAGTCCGCTAGCCCTCGAGGGGGGTTTGATACAGGTTTGATACAGGTTTGATACGACAATGATTAAACCAGAAACGATTCATTCCAGCCTACTGCTCTCTTTTTGCCCCGCTCCCCTCAAGACCAAGATTTCTCCTTGTCCTCCGCTCACTAGGCCAAGTCCCGAGCGAACGAACCCACGAGAAGTCAAAGATCCAAGCATGAACAGCATACCTAAGGCTAGATAGGTGGGGGGGATGATGAGGGGGCAAGAGAGAGAGGGAGAGAGAGATCCATTTCTTGATGTGTTGGCAACGCATGCATGCATGCATGCATGCATGGAGGGGGTAAAACCCGCCTAAAACCTCCCCCCTCCTCGCTCTTCTTTGCTACTGTGATTTGTTGGTCAACCCCCTCTCCCCTCCCCCTTACTGCGTTGGCAAGTATTGCAGATTTTGGGGGAGGGAGGGGGGATCGGAGCTGAAACCGATCAGCTAATTATTGTGATAGGTGGTTGATTGGTGTGTATGTCTGTGTGTGTGCGTATTGCAACTTGCAAGTCAGTCAGACAGTCGAGAAGGCAAGAGAGACTAAGTACAAGAAAGAACTGTTCAGCTGGCATAGTGACTGCGCTTAGCCGGATCTCGTTAGTGCTACAGTAGTAGCCACAAGTACATGAGTAATGATCTCCACTCTTTGCACGTGTTCAACCACCACTGCCCAGTTTGGCTGACCTCTGCTCGGGTTAGTCAGACATAGTGCAGTGGGTTCACTGAGTGATGTGTTGTCATTGACCTCCAGAATTCAAGACTGCTGGTACCACTACCTTGCTTGGGTATAATTTATCACTTGTACTACCTACTAAGCAGGTACAGGTACATACAAGTTGTACTCGGGCTACCCCGGTGCCTACCACCCCAACTCATTCACAAAATCCAGCAGATCTTTACGTCGTATGTTTCAAGCCTCAATGGACCATATTGCACAATACCACGGTCAATTCTCATTTTTGTGTATGTCTGTACTGCACCACCGCCGGCTGTCAAACAGATTTAGGTTATGCCACTAGCTTCGCTGGCAGACCACCACAACAATTGGAGCTAAAAGTGGAGTGGGTATCCTCTTCCCCCCCACCGGTCCTCCATCATCTTGGGTACTGTACATACATGCTGTACGAACTGCACCACATACATCCAGTACATGTACTTTTCCGGCGTACAGGACATCAAATGTCAAGCAATCTCGTCCACAACTAAAATCCCTCCCTTCTCTATAAATACTAGACTATATTGAAGGGCAGAAAATATGATCTGAAAAGAAAAAAAAAGAAAGAAAGAAACGCCAGATCAAAAAGAGCACAGATTGCCTTAAGAATCCTTGTACTTCAACTCAGGTATCGTTCGAAAACACTATCATCCATTTCTCTCTCCATCACGGCAGCCTCGGATGAACACAGTCACAGTCACGTTTGACACTTGAGACACAATAGCAGGGGGGAGCATGATAAGAAATGACACGACAAGAGGAAAAATAGAAAGAATGATGAAGATAAATATGAATATAAATATGTAGAAGAGGGGCGCAGGTCCTTGCCGATGGCCAATAGATTAGCCCAATTGGTTGGACCCAGTCCCTGGGGTAAGGGGAATGATGGCGCCCTTCAAGTTGAATGCGTTGTCCCCCCCCCCAAACTCGCTGCTTTGCCTCGTCTGCCTCTAGTTACAGACCCATTTCTTGTCAGCCTCCTTCTGTCCTACTCGCGTGGCCACGCTGTTCAGCGTATCTTTCAGGACGTCCTTCGAGACCTTCGGGAACCTATCGCAAGCGAAACCATGGAGATTAGCCTTCCGTTTCCTTGAGACAAGTCAACATGTGGGTCCACGTCTTACCGTTTCTTCAAGATTTCAAGCAATCCCAGCTTGGTCAGGTCACTGCCATCCACCACCTGCTTGAACTCACCCAGCTGCTCGGCCGGAAACGTCCGCTGTTTCGTTCGTCCCGCTGTCACCACCGCAAAAGCGCCCCCGTCCGCCGTCGATCCTCCTCCAGGGGAGCCCTTGTGGGAGCCAGGGACCGCCTGGCCCATGAAGGTATGCAGCGTCGACCGCCCTAGACCCGCAGCGCCCGGCACGGAATCTGCAGGCTTAGGTTTTTGCCAATACACGGTGGAGAACGGATCGATAGGGAAAGGCACCGAGTCGGAAATCGTTTCCAATTTGTACATCTGCAGCTCGGAGTCCACGCCTTGTTCCTGCCATCGGATGCCGGTGCTAACAGGTTCTAGGTCGCCCACGATGAGGCGTCGTTTGCCGTCAACAAGGTGGTCATCCTCGTCATCTAGGAAACCATCCATGTCGTCCTCGCCATCCTCGCTCATCTCGTCCTCTTCCTCCGAGTCGAGCTCCTCGCCTTCTTCGGGCTCCTCCCATTCGGCCTCCGAGTCATAGTCGTAATTGATCTCTGGTAATCCTCGGCGGAAAGGGTTGCGCATCAGCCGATGGGCAGCTGCCTCGGGTAGACGCTTGGTAAATGTGCCCTGATAGGGTGGGCGCACATCCTCCCCAAACCTGAAAGATTTCATTGTTACTTGCCGCAGCAGCTCCCGCGGCTTTCTCTGGGCATCCTCGGAAGGTCCGGCCTGGTCGGCCAGATTCTGCATCTGAATTAGGATTTCCTTTACCGAGGCAGGCAATCTCCCACACCGGCGTCTGTATGGGATGAGGTTGAATAGCTCGGAGGGACGAAATGCGGAAGGCGGGGCGGTGGCGTTGGATTTCAGGTAGACATCTACCTTTTCTTGGGTATGATGAAGAGCTTTGGCATCACGCTGGAACTGATGGGGCGGCGCAACTTTGGTGTGCGACTGCAAGAAGAAATCAGGGAAATCGCGCTGGTAGTCGGATACAGCGGAGGGAGCCGGGTCATGGAAGGATTCGGGTGCAGCGCCAGCGCCGGTCGTTCTCTGAGGTGAGAGTGAGATGGTTTTGTTGGTGGTCAAACTGGGATTCGAGGAGGCGATGGCGGGTTTGGGTTTGGCAAAGAAAGAATTCAGCTTCGTTTGTGACTGTCAATGCGGTTAGAAGTGAGGTCTTGGGCGTAGAACCTTGCCCCGGAAAGGGCGGCGTAGCAATTACTCACTCTCTCCTTCCTCGACTTCTCCTCCTCTTTCTTCTTCTTTTCTTCCTCCTTTGCGGCCTTCTCCTCCTCCTTCACCTTTCGCTTTTCCTCCTTCTCGGCATCTCGCTTTTTGCGTTCTTCCTCTTTGGCCCGCTTCTCTTCTTCCCGTTCGGCCTCGCGTTTGCGCTTTTCCTCGTCCTTCTTCGCCTTTTCTTCTATTCTCTGCCGCTCCTTGACTTCCTTCTCCTCCACCTTCCGCGCCTTCTCTTGCTGCTTCTGCCGCTCCTTGGCCTCCTTCTCTTGTTGCTTGGTTTCCTTGCTGGTGGGAGAAAGCTTCCTCTTCTTGGCCGCTGGCACCGTAAAAGACCCAGTTCCGTCGCCTGATGCAGACAAGCCAGCATGCGCACTATCTGATGGCGGGGCGGGGGAAACAGCAGCAGTCCGTGCAGACCGGGTACTCGAGTTGCCATCGCCGTCGGGGGAAGGTAGAGCAGCACCGGTCTCGCCGTCCGAGCCAGCCACCTTTTGCAGGTGAGCCCGCAGGGCATCGTGATTCTCTTTATCGTCGTCGGGTGTAGATGTAGTTGAAATACCTGTCGTCGGAGGCTGTTGCACGGAGACGCCGGGACGATCCCCTGCGCTATCTTCGGTCGTCTCGGTATCGATGTCCATGGTCAATTCATGGACGACCGACCCGCCATTTTCTGAGTCCATCCCGCCCATCTCATCATCTTGTATTGAACGCTTGCGCGTGCTGCTGGGAGATGTAGACATGATCGAAGGGTATGTGTTCGGAGGTAACGGCGAGCGGTGACTGTGGTTATTTATAGCGGCGGTATTGCTGGTAGCAGGAGTCGAGGCGAGCGCGGAAGGCGGAGGGGGAGGAGGCTTGAGGCTCGGTGGCACCGGGCTGGAGGCATCCATTGTGGTGGTCGACATCGCTTCTTGCGAGACCCTTATAGTAACAATGTGTAAATCTTGGCTAAGGTTATGCGGAGGTCAATGTGAGTTGTGGTTTAATTATATTACCGGGCAGGTGCGGGTGTGTGAAAAGGGTATGAGGAATCGTGTCGTCCAGTCGGGGTGCAACAATCGGTTAATATGGAAAGAACGTGAACATCACTAGGCGACGCGACCAAAGGACATATCCCCGGATGATGTTAGTTGGTATCCTTCCTTCCTCTCATAAGTCCTTTGCAATTGGATTGATGGCCTGACTCACCGGTTTCAAAGGTGGAGATTACAGCTGCAATATGCCAGCAGAGCCAGGGCCAGGGCTCATGGGGTTGCAGTCGGTGTGAGGTTGGTATAAGGTGGGGGGTGAAAGTGATGGCAGTTGTAACACACACACACACACACACACACACACGGGGAATTTGCCTCGAATAGAACGAGGCAAGATGATCCTCTCCCTCTCTCTTACACTCACAGACTGTTTCTGCCCTGTGCAAGAATTGAGCCAGAGGAGTGGGAAGCTTGGCGAGTGTCCCGTCCTGACCAGATTGCCTGAAACGCGTTAATTGATGTTGCGCGACGGAAATTCGCGTTCGGCACGTGTAAGTGCTTATGTAAGCTCTAATCATAAACATTATCAACCGTCATCAAAACCTCACTTGCATCACCTTGATGCCATATGTTGGCTCTCACCCGGTCTGGGGATTGTGATTTTGAACTACCTTACTGAAAAATCGTCACTGCGGTGTCTCGATAGTAGGGTAGCAGGAAGACCCGTTCCAAGTATATGCCACTCTAACTACAAACAACGGCTGCCATATGTACATGAGTATTATTTATTACTATGATTACTCATAAATCCATCAGGCACATGGGTGCGGACCAATCACACCCATCTGCCGTACGCAATCCGTACGACACGAAAAGAGAGAGAGACAAAAGCGCCAATAACATGCTGTCAGGGGAATAGAACAAGTGTGCAATACAAAAGTGAACTTGGAAACAGAACAATCAGAATTGTGACCCAGCCATTATAGCATTTGGGCCCGAGGCTCTAGCACAAAGCCTAGACACCGGCCATCAAATGCGAGGCAGGACTGCAGGAAGAAAAGAGGTTCCACGGAGATCGAAAAGGGAAAACGTTGAGTTCGGAGGTAGGTGGAGACGTGGCATGGTAAATCCAAAAATATGCCAAGCGCGCGGCTAGAATGCATCTTAATCACTCAGATCTGGGTTCGCAACAAAGAGTCGGACATTGGTCATTGATGTGGTCCTATCGTCCACGCTGCCCCGGCGCCTCAGCTCATCCGCCTTCTTGGCCTTCTCGATGGCGGCTTGTGCAGCGCTGGGGGCAGCCATATCTGCCAGAGTGCCGAATTTGTCTTCCGGTTCACTGCCTAAGCTATTCAGAGAGGCGTTATCCTTGATGGAAGCATGTTCTGCCTCGGCCTCGGCGGTTTCTGCTCGAGGGTGCTCGGAAACGTCGGGCAAGTCGCTCATCTCGTTCGATGGAGAGCCACTGCTACCCACAGTGCTTCGCTGATACCCACTCGGATAACGCGAGTTGCTTCCGAGCGAACTGCGGCCACTGCCGGTGCGGCGATACGGGAATCCACGATCGCTGTGGGCATCCTCGTCGGCATCGCCCACTTCGTTGGCACTCAGGCGAACTGGAACCGTTGCACCGACAAGCGCCGAGGGTGAAAAGTCAGTGCCCCCTTTAGCGCCGTGCTTGTTTTTGCCGCTTCCCAGGGTACCCGTACGTCCGGCGCCTGCGCCATGGACTTCCAGGTATGCCCGCTTCTTATCCACCAACTTCTGAGCCCGCAGTCGCGGATCTTCTGGCTGGGCCCGGTCACACCAAACAGTCGCCTTCTGCCTCCGCATCAAGGCGACGTATCCCAGCTGGGCGTTGGCCGAGCGCGATGATGTACTTCGACGAATATCCGAAACATTACCACTATAGTACATATTCGGATTATTGCCGGTGGAGCTAGTGGAGGTGGTTGCACTGGATAGGCGTCTCGAAGGTGGATAGGGGGCCGCAGCCGTCATGGAATGGTGTGGGGAGGGACCGGTAGAATGCTGCTGTTGCTGGCCCATGTAGGGTATAACGTGAGAGGAGGATGTTCGTCGACGGTTATGCGCGAGGGCGGCGGTAGACGGGTGAGGGGCAAGCTGGTGGTGGGCCCCTTCGTAGGACTGGTAGGGAAATCCAGATTGCATCCCCGCGACCGGCTTCCGAGCCGGCGGCGGTTGATGGATCGGCAGACGGTAATCAGTCATGCTGGGTTGTTGAAGCTGCACACCGGCCATCTGGCGACTCCTATCGGACGGTATCCGCAAGACCGGAGCGAATGGTTGGTATTGTTGCCCAAGACACGAGCTAGGCGGGTGATGGGGAAGAAACGATCCACCACACCGATAAACAAGGTAGAGTCGGAGTGAAGAACAGTCTTGTAAGGACGAAAAGTGATACAGCCGAAAAAGTTCTATCTGCCGGTGAGGATTCGAAGTGCGGCGACCGACGGCTCCGTCGTTGTACCGGACAGGCAACGGATTCCGGAAGGATACGCGATGGAGGGAGGTAGAGCGGCTGACCCGATACAGTAGGATGCGGTATCGGTGATAGGTCTTCGAGGAAATCTACCAAGACTCGGGAGGCGCTTAGGGAGGAGAAGTGGTGAGTGTGAGTGGTGAGTGTGAGTGTGTGTGGGTGTGCGTGCGAAGGATGAATGAAGAAGATGGGTTTGGCAAGAAGAGCGGTGCTTAAGCAACCAGATAGACAAGCCAGACAGACAAGCTGGCTTTCCTTCCGCCACTTCGTGCACACGAGGCCTGGCGGGTACCCAATTTCACCAAGTCACACCTGCAGGGGGCATCGATTGAACGGTCGACAACACTAGTTGATGTTTTGATGATAGTGAGAGCAAAGAAAGCAATCTTCACTAACGCCAACAGTTGCAACACACACGAAAAGGCGAGGGGGAGTCCAATGGATCCGAAGTAGGCGAGGATCAGCCAGGGGCAGCACGGGAGGGGGAGAGATTGAAGTCGAAATGAGATATATAGACCGGGGAGGGAGAGTGAGAGTCGAGAAGTGAAAGGCCAGAGGAAAAAGAAAGGCTCCAAAAGATTGGATGGGAAACGAGTAGAGTAAAAGAGAGTGAATAATAACAGGACGATGGTGAGAGGGGGGGGGGAGGCGATGATCGATCGGGAAGATGAGAGAAACAGAGGAAAAGAGAGAAAAGCCCCAGTGTGACGGCGGTACCGAATACGACTCGATACCTGAGCCTCTTCGTACCTCGTAATTTCCTAGTTTCTGCTGATAAGGTCTCCGTACCGGCGAAAATCAACCAGCTTTAGACACACAGCCACAGATCAAACCACGGCTGTCTTTGGGCAATGCTCTTTCTATCACTCTTTGCGGAGATAGGGCCTTGGTTGAATCTCTTTCGTTCGTCTTGCAAGAGGTATATATCCTCTTTCTTTCCTATCTCCATTGTATTGTTTCAGATGACGACAAACGAGATTGAAGAGTTCTAAGAGAGTGTAAAGAAAATTCGACTGCGCCACAACCCGCACGTGGGGACGCAAGCGGGATTCCATCTTGACTTCTGTGTACTTCGTACTCCATACATCTTTAGTACCGTACATCCGCGATACAAAGACATACCGGGCAGGATACCTGACCTGGCAATCTACGGAAGATACCGTCGCTTTGGCCCGTAAAGTACATGTACGGTAGTAGTCAATGCTAGGAACCGGATGGTCGACCCAAGCTTCAGATGCACAACTACCCAGATTCGGGGCAAATGAATGACGTCCCTGACTCCACTACTGAAACACTCGGAAGGCCGGGAATGAAGATTTCTTCCCCAAGGTTGACTGGATATGGAGAGGGGTTTCACGGAGAGAGTCAGTCCTACTCAGACTCTCTGTATCTCATTTAGTCATGGATCAATGCTGCAGGATAACCGACAGACCGTCAGTATGTCAGACAGACAGACAGACAGACAGACACTTATGGTTACATCCATGGAGGTGCTCTCGCATGGACATCCACAAGTAGGCTGGGAGCACTTATGAGTACTTACTTGCTTACTATAACTAGAGTAAAAAAACTAGAAGTCATAAATCAATTGAATAATAATGCTACAAGTGGTCCCATGTTTGTTCTCTTTCTCTCCAGTTTTTCAGGTGCCCACTTTTTCCATCCATCCATCCATCCATTCATTCATTCCCATTCCCATTCCCATTCCCACTCACCGTTGTGACCTTAACTCTCAACCTGTTTCATCCAGAATACCGGTAAAGAAAGGTACCGTACACAAGGCTGCTGGGACTTGGGTCGGAGACGAGTTCCGCAGTGTAATTGTGTATTCAATGGTGACGTGACTATGACCATAACTAATCAGCTACTTACTTTGGACAGTAAGTTAATCATTCATTGTAGTGATTAACTAGTTGGGTACTGCGAGTAAGGTTGCACAGGCGGGGAAATCTACGATGGGATTTTTCGGATCGCCCTGATCAACACTTGTCAACCATGTTAATCTGATTGACTTGTGTAGCCTCATTCATGACCACCAGTAGTTGACTTTTTCTTACTACCTCTCTTGACTACCAACAGACAATGAGGAGCAAAGTCGTGATATGCCGTCATTCTTTGGCAACTCGAACAATCACGTGGAAGGCATTACCTTACTCTTTTCATACAGCCTGCATTTACTGGATCATTCTTTCCATCGGGTGGAATCATCAATTGTTTAATGGTTTGTCAACAGGAGAAGCCAAAAGAAAGCCCGGAATAGTGACCACGAGTTGCTCCGGACTTCTGACCAGAGGTAAAGTCAGAGGTCAAGTCGATGGAAACGGAAAGTGTCCTTCTTCTCTTGAGTGTGTTGACCCCACCGGCGTTACATCCCGGTGAGTAAGGTAGTTAGCCTAAATTAGTTACATAAGTCAGTCTCTCGGTCTACTTGAGTATCTACTCCGTACGGAAGGTCACATTCAGCTAGCCACTAAACCAGTGAACCGTATCTTTCTTTGCTGTATTGCTCCCAATCGCATCCGGCAATGGAGCCACGCGACAATAGCCCGGCAGCAGTCATCGATTTGTTGATTCAAGACGAAGTACGGAGTAGAAATTCATTCATCACAACGAATTCTATGATGCGGCCTTCTCGATCGGAGATACCCGCTACGGGATTGATGATTTGACTGACTCAAATCGCGCATCGAACGAGGGAGAGACTTTTTCCACGCCCCATGGTTACCGTACTACTGAGGACAACGGAACGAAGCTGCTGCGACAGCCAACAATGCGATTATCGCCGGGGAAGCCGATGGTCAGCCCTACGCTCACTCAATTCATCTGGCGTACAACCCCACCCTTAGAGAAAAAGAAAAACAAAAACAAAAACAAAAAAACAAAAACAAAAAAACAAAATACAATCTGATCCTTACAATAGATCAACGCATCATCGATTATCAATACCACATCCCACATGAGTAACAATTGATAAGACATCCTAAAATACCTCATTCCACACTCACAGCTTCGATTCTCCACCTTCAAGCCGCACAAAAGCCCCATCGGGCCTGACATCATAATCCCGGCCTTGTTCCCAACCCAACCATGTCTTCAAAGTCTCTTGTCCTCCGGTCCCGGGTATCAGACCACCGCCTGTCCACCCTCCGTCGTCGGTCGGGATGGGTAGTCCCGGGGTATCAGCGAGATGCACCACGGGGCGTAGCTCGTAGCCACCCGCCTGCAGCTCATCCGGGTCCAACACGGGCGTGGCGCAGGCATCGGTCCCATCGAATACGGTCTCCCACTCAGCGCGCGTCTTTTCCTGGAAACGCTTGGCAAACGCAGCACGCAGTGCCGGCCAATTGTCCTTGTTCTCTCGCGATGGCAGCTCCTGGGGATTAAACCCGAGCCCTTTCAGGAGCGCCTCATAGAATTGTGGCTCGAGAGCCCCCACCGCGAAAAACTGGCCCGCGTCCTTGGTTTCGTAGGTGTCGTAGAATGGACTCCCCCCATCCAGTATATTCTGGCCGCGCGGGGCATTCCAGATGGGCGTTTGGCGGCCCAGTCGAGGGAACGAGGCCAGATACGCGGAGCCATCGACCATGTTAGCCTCGACGATCTGACCGCGGCCGGTCCGCTCCCGCGACAACAGCGCCAGAAGTATACCCTGGAAACAGGTAGCCCCGCCGCCGGCAAAGTCACCTACAAGGTTACCGGGGGCATAGGGCCGCTCATTGGACCGGCCGAGCATGGACAACACCCCGGACACGGCAATGTAATTAATGTCATGTCCAGCCATGTCCTTATATTTCCCATCGCGCCGAAACCCCGTCAACCGTGCTACGATCAAACGCGGGTTGTGTTTCAGCAGGACGCCCGAGGGGTCAAGGCCAAGGCGCTCTAAAACTCCCGGGCGGAAAGGGTCGATTAGAATATCGGCCGTGGTCAGAATGGAGAGGAGAACTCCATGAGAGGCAGCATCGCGGAGATCCAAGGGTATGGACGTCTTGTGGCGGGTCAGTTGATCCGGGCTTGGAGCCTGGGGTCGGTCAATCCGTAAGACAGATGCGCCGTAGTCGGCGAGGAGTAGACCGGCGAATGGACCTGATATTCGAGGGTCAGTGGGCAGAAGGGAGGGACCGAGATAGAGATATGGTACGGGGACGAACCAGGAGCTAGGCCCGCCAGCTCGACCACCCGGATTCCCGCCAGCGGCGCAGATGGAGATGCGGACATGGTAAGACAGCAGCAGCTCTTGGAGTTATTCCTCTATTCAATCGCGTGGGACTTCGAATTCGAGAGGACTCAGACGAGATATGCACCTAGTGATTTCGGCCAGATATGGCATGTAAGATGTAGCTAGCAAGCACTGGTGGAGAGCCATTCATTACATCGTCTCCACAGCCGAGGCCGAGGTCCGGGAGGTGGGGAAAAGGTGAGTACGGAGTAAAGAGGAGGCGAGTAACTATGTGTAACCTATAGCTGGCTGTTTTTTTCTGATAGATGCCTTATGACTTCTATTAAAGGATCTGATGTCATCTACCAAGCATGTTAGCTCAGGGGAAGAGCGCCGGGCTCATAACCCGGAGGACCCTGGATCGAAACCAGGACATGCTAAAATTTTCTTTTTTGTTTATTTTTGCCTACCTCTTTATATCCCTCGGCTTGTCTGCTTTCAACTATTTAATTATCATCTTCAAATCGGACAGGCCTGTTTCAATTTGGTTTTAATTGCTCTCACTTTCTTGCATACTGCTACATAATCTATGTTCGCTTTCGATTGTCAAGCCCTTGCAGTGGATGGGGTCATGGTCAGCCACCCGCTCGTGGCTATATATCCCGTGCTCTACGGAGTAACTTAGACTTCATACTAGGATACTATCCCACCTCGATCAAGAAGTCACACCATCTCCAGTCAATCCATTACACCGAAAAACAAACAAGCACCCATACGTATTAACAGTACGCGACACAGTTCGATCATAATTTACCGTATTACCAGGCAAATCGAACCATATCCAGTAAGCACCAGCCACCCACTAGCGCACCGACCAACCCGGGAGCCTTCCGTCGCCTATCCTTTGAGCATGCCTCGAGGGGCCAAAAGTACCTCGGCAGCACGCCAATGCAAGTAAGCAGCCCACTACCGCTGACCGTGGAGAACCGTGCTGGATGTTTCTTCAAGCTATTCTGGCAAAGTTTGGGAACCATCTCCGTTCATTTTCCAATCCAACCCCTCCACCCCCTCCCCGCCCTGGTCAGACCACGCGAAGTGAGACCAACATGGAAATCAGTATGCTACAATCGCCCTGTTGACTACCTATCAGTCGATCGTAGGCTCCCAGACCGATGGAATCAGGCCCGCATGTCCGGGTTGATGCTTGGCTCGCCTCTTCTATAGGTGGTAGGGGACGGATTTGGTTATGTTGGTTGCAGGATCATAATTTATTGACTAGGTTGGTTGCGTATGGAATAAGAAAGAGCAGAAGACACGCCCAAGAGATCTTTGCGCTGATGCGACAATATTAAACGTTGGTCCATCGGACATCATTGGTCATTCATTTCAAACCGATAATGGGTAAAGTGAAGCTGTATACCTCACCATGAGGTGGGAGGCTATGCAGGACATGAGAAGAGAAAGAAGTAGAGAGTCAGAGGAAAGAGTTCTTTACAAGGTAGTCAGCAGAAGGAGGGCAATGGTGACGAGAGCCCCAGGCCCATGCTTGAAGGCAGCCAGTCGAGGAGCTGCGCCAGTGAATACTGGCGACACACCTCCTTGTGTACTGCTAGGCACCACCGATCCTGGGAGGCCACTTGCAGAGGGCTGAACGAGAAGTGTCGACGAAGGGCGAACATCTCCGGCTCCCGCGGTTCCAGGTTGGCTGGGAGGTGCCTGACTCGGAGATACAAGAGCAGTGGATGTGAAGTGAGGAATTACATTCACCGAAGTCGAAGATGTACCGAGCCCCGTTGACCCTCCATGGACAGCATCGACACCTTCAGGATTGCCAGGGTGAATGCCTGTCGCCGCTGCGACAGTGCTTACAGGCACCGTGACGGTCACTGTAGTCGGCGTAGGCCCGCACACGGTACAGACAGAAACCGTGGTTGTCCAGCCAGACAGGGAGCCTGAGACCGCGGTCGGTGATGTCGGCTCCGATGAAGAGGTGATGGCTGGCCGAGTCAGAGTAACTGTAGTCGGTGTTGCAGCACAGTGTGTGCAGACCGTGACCGTTGTAGTCCATCCCTCGGGGATTTCAACAGTCGTGGTAGAAGCCTGGGAGGCGGAAGCGCCCGTCACCCTGGCGGGGGCAATGGCTGTGTCAGCACCCGGGGAACCTGCGACGCCAGGTATTGTGGCGGGGGCAGTGGCAGTGGCAGCGGCAGCGGCAGCAGCCGTGACAGGACAGTAGGTGGTCGTGTAAGTTGTAGTGATGGTCGTGAAGCCCTCGGGACAGATATCAATGTACGAGGTTACAATGATTGTGGTCGTGGTTGCTGGTTCCAGCGCAGATCCGGCGGGCGACACAGAAGTGGCCCCAGGGCCAGATGTGATGGCCGGGGTAATGACAGTAAAAGCAGCACTATCGGTGGATGTAGCACTAATGGGCACTGTTGTTGGCTTGCCTGTCTGGTCTGACACATTACTGACAGCGTGAGCTGTGCTCGACGAAGAAGCCGTGCTTCCATGGTCTCGCTGACTTGAGACTGTCAAAGTGCTTGAGCTCGCCGTGGACCTCGTAACACCAGACCCATAAGGATTTCCTGAGTTTGCGGAAGAGGACCCATCGCTACTGGAAATAGGAACACTGGTAGCACCTGCGCTCGAGGAAGACTCCGTGCCCGACGTAGTGCCGGCGTGCGAAGCGGTCGATACCGATTGAGTGTTAGAGAGAGCGGAGCTTGGGATCGTTCCTGAGACCGACGGAACAGAGCCACCGGGCTGCACTGTTGAAACTGTCAAAGCAGCTGTGCTAGATTCAATCGACGGGCCTGTGAAGGTGCCGATTTCAGAAGCGACGACTGAAATAACGGACGTGGCGGAACCCACAACGGAGCCCGAAGAGTGAGATTGACTATTGAAATTAGAAGTCTCCACACTAGAGGAAGCCGAAGCCACAATGCTGGAAGCTCCGATAACCAAGCTCGAAGGCACAGACACCCCCGAGGTGACAGGTGAGCCCGCTGAAGAAGCCACGGAGCTCGAGATGAGCGAAGTAGTAGACGGCTGTGACGCACCGGGGGACACCTGGCTGGATGCACCGGGAATTATGGAAGAGCTCAATGTCTCGGAGAATCCTGGAGTAGCAACGGTTGAAGTGGATGGCCCTGGAATGACAGGTCTGCTCGTGACCACAGAGAAACTAGACACCGCAGGAGGACTCAGCACAGAGGAACTATGAGCCTCATGAGAGCTGGTAGCCAAAGACGATGTGGCGACAACGGGACCAGAGACCAAAGTCGAGCTGGCGGGCGCGCTGGACGCGTCAGGCAGGGTGGAAACGACAGGACGGCTTGTCACAACAAGAGGGCTAGAAGCCGGAGACGAGCCTAGAACAACAGAGGAACTAAGAATCACAGGCGAGCTAGAGAGCACAGACTTTGTTGTAATAACGGGTGTAATAGAGGTGATCGGGGAGCTGGAGACCACAGGGGAGCTGGCAGCCACAGAAGAGCTAGGTGTCAAGGGAGTGTTGGGCACCACAGGGGAGCTGGCTGAACCCGAAGAACCTGATACTGTAGGTGGAGCAGAGACCACGGAAGAGCTAGGCACCACAGAACTGACCGACACCACAGGGGTGCTCACGCCTATGCTGGCAACAACAGAGCTGCTTGTTACCACAGAAGCACTGGACACCACAGGGCTGCTTGACACCGCAGATGAGCTCGAAACAACGGAAGCAATGCTCGACGGGGCAGAAGATCCCGAGCCAACAGTGTTAGACACCACAGAAGGAGTAGACACCGCAGGAGGGCTTGAGATCGCAGACTGGCTAGAGATCGTAGACGGTTTAGAGACCACGGTGCCGAAGGAGTCGACACAGCCGAAGGAGTCGACACAGCCGAAGGAGTCGACACAGCCGAAGGAGTCGACACAGCCGAAGGAGTCGACACTGCCGAAGGAGTCGACACAGCCGAAGGAGTCGACACTGCCGAAGGAGTCGACACTGCCGAAGGAGTCGACACAGCCGAAGGAGTCGACACAGCCGAAGGAGTCGACACAGCCGACGAAGTAGGCACAGTGGAAGCAGTAGACGAGACAGAAAGGGTGGGCACCGCGGGTGTACTTGTGGCAGTATAGGAGGGTGATGGCGTAGGTGCACTGCTAGAGGGCAGAACAGTGATTGTCTGAGGAGGAGTAGGGTCGAGAGTCACGAGAATTTGCTTCATCACGTCGGCGAAAGATTCGTCGCCGAATTTATTCTCGTCCGAATACGTCGCTTCCCAAACCATGATTCCACCGAAGGTATCCGGAAAGCGCGCCATATACTCGGCAACCAGCAAATAGGCCTCCACGGGGGTGATGTAATAGTCAGGGCTGGCGGCGGCACTCGAGCTGGCAGGCAATCCGACATAGAGCTTAGCGTCCGGGTTACCTCCTGCTTTAATGACATCCACCCATTTGTCAAAGTTGAAACCATCCACCGTGCCTTCGACATAGTCACGGGCGGAGCAGCCCTGAGTGTTATAGAACTGCACCCAAATGAAGTCGAAGTGGGAGTTGGCAATCGCGTTGTCAAGCTGCAGGTCAGGTATCGAGCATTGAGGCGCACCCGAAATGTAGAAGGTACGACCTTGCTGTAAGGAGTAGTGATATCTCAGTCGGTTGACCATTGTTGCGTAACCTTGAAACATTAAAAGTGAGCCTTGAAGATTGCGGAGCCTTAAGAAACCTACCGTAATTGCCATTGTGCTCAATGTCAAAGTCGAAACCATCCACGACAACATCACCAAAAGGGCGAGGACCATTGTTGGACACCCAATCGTCGGTCTTGGGGCCAAAGGCACCCCATAGGAAGTCGGCGAAATTATTGGCAGAGTCCTCCGATAAGATTTGCTGAGTGGCGGGATAAGCACCACCCAAAGACAGGAACACTTTCTTGCCCGCAGCCTGGCAGATAGGAATGTCTTCCACTAGCTGGTGGCAACCTTTGAGAAGCTCCGTTGTTAGGTTGCCAACCGTGTAGTAGGTGCCATCGCACTGATTGCCGAAATTGCTTCCTGGCCAACCGGCAACGCCTTGGTCAGGAAAGATATTGACGAAACCAAGGTTGATGATATCCAAGGAGGTATCTTGGCAGAAATGGCTCAGACGTTGCTGATCGGTTCCTTGGCCCTATTTTCGTACGGTAAGGAGGCTGTACCATTTCCAATCATGTGGAAGCACATACATAGTAGACAGCAACATTCGACTTCGATTGAGGATCGAAAGCAGAGACCAAAGGAGTGACAGCTGATAGAGCAGCGAGAACGGTGACAAGTTGGGACACCATGGTGAAAGAATGTCGACTGGTGGAGACAAGAGAGCCGCTCAAACCAGTGGAAACGAAGGACGGATTGGTTCAAAGAAAGGACGCAGACAAAAGTCCGCTGCTTGGATGATCCCCGCAAAGCAGATAGAGAGGGATGACACGAAGAATATCTCGAGAAGGGGGAAAGGGCAAGACGAAGTAGAGTTATAAGCGCGAGCTTGCTCTGGACCTTGGCCTCCTGGGACAGCTTTCCATGCCATGTCTGGCTCACCATTGGCCACGATGCTGGTAAACCGTTCATCGCACGAACACAGCCGAAATTAGCATGCGGAGTCAACGCCTTGGCGGGTGCACCACATGCCTGGACCGCCAGCTTGAAAGTTCCTAGTTCGGTCTTCAGTGCTTATGGGCTATGCTAGTTAGCACCTTCTTTGGGAGACTAACGGTGACGCTTAAGCCCTCGGTCCTTTTGTAGGAGAATAAGATAAAATCAAATAAATCTTGACCCAGGCAAACTCCGTCGGGGAAAACGGACGGATGCCGTGGTGTAGCCGGAAAATAGACCAAACATGATGCTCAAGGCAGCAGCAGGCAGCAGACTGCTCTTCCGCAGTACCTGCCTGTAGAGCCGCATAGGTGGCTAACTTTTTTGGCCAAATTAGCCTCTGAGAAAGTGGGCGAGGAGAGCCAAGCAACGCCGACTTACAATTTCGCACGCCTCAAGCGGAGAGTTTCCATCATCTTAGTCTCTTTGTAAGAGCCCAAGGAGGGGCATATGGGTAAGAGCCGAGGGTTTCCAGTGTTCCACTGTATCTAGCGCCACCATAGTGTTCGCTGAGATCCAGTTGTGATTGGAGTAGCCCGTGATGGGTTCAGTCATAGCTCGTCGTCAACTGTACGTATGAGAAAAGGAGTGGCTCTTGCGAGCGGCGGATAGTTGTGTTGCCGGCTAAAATATGACCTGGGATGACAAGGGAAATTGGTTTTTGAAAGCAAGAGAGCAAAGCGAGGGTAGGTGGCGTATGGACCCTTTGGGTAGTGGCAGTCTTAGCGTATAGGATGGATGGAAGTTGGAAAGAAGTCTTGATCTCAAGTCTCCAGGAGTCCAGATGAATACTAGCCTGGTGAGAGTACTTTCAGAACAGGACTAGTCGGGGTCACGGGTCCATGTGGCAGTTACTGGAATAGGACTAGTGAGGGAAGGGAGGTCGGCCATTTCTGACTCAGGCACACCAATGACAGCGGTTCGATAATAGATACCAGAATGCTAAGCAACTAGTAGTTAGTCTAGTAGTCTAGTAGTCAGCCTCCATCCGTGCAAAATTTCGCGGACCCCCGCCGCATCCGGTTTGGTGTCCACCGTCGTGTCCACCGTCTCTGAGAGGCTTAGAGATTTTGTTAGAAGAGCGATTTATACGAAGACCCCATACCAGATACTGTAACCAGTAACGACCTAGGTAACAGCTTGTTGGCTTTTGCCTAAAAGCTCGGTCCTGACGTGATCCGTGGAAACGATCTGCCCCTGAGCCGGACACTGTCCGGAGATCACCGGATCATCCGATCGACACCACCTTTGAGGCCGTTGATATTCGCTGTCAGAGAAAAGAGAAACTTCGATCAACAATATGCAGAAAGAGATTAGAAAGTTCTTATCTTGACAGACACTCGACTTGAAACAATCAAGGTGATTCACCATGCGCGTATCCTGCACCGGAGACACGAGCAGGAAGTGACTTGACCCCTCCTCGCCTCCTGCTGTCTAACTTTACTAGTCATACTTCGGCTATATTAGCTTAACCAGAACCAGCGGCGCTAGTCCCAGATTCAGAGTGGGCACCGAACGAACACCGCTCACTGACCTACACTAGACTAAAGTCACTAACAATCGCCTTTCACTTTCAGACTTTCACACAGACCCTCATTCCCGATTAATTAGAGAGGGTCCTCCTCGCCCAGCCCTACTGGAGCGTGCGGCGGATAGTGCAAGAAACTAGTGCAATCAAGACCCAGCGCTAACCTCGACTGATTCCTGCGAAATACCCGACCTCGCGCCGTGATTACCCAGTTGCACTCACTTGTTGTGGCGGCTGCATCGATGAGGAAATTACACCTGCACAGACACACATCCAGAATATATTATTGCCTGGCACCAGGCCGAAGAATCAGTTGACCAGTGCCCCTGAAGAAGCTTTCACCATAGCCTGCAGTGCCACTCCCAGCAGCGATGGACCGACACGGCCGATATGACCGCTACTCCCGCCGACTCTGTATGCTGAGCACCTTCGTCCGTGAAGTTGTGCCACCAAGCCTGGAGCATGTACATTTGCCCCATCCGATGCGCTTGTAACCATATCCACCGGTTTGGAGTGGGCTTTTGCTTCTTTGTGATCCAGGAGACCCTCATTCCCCTTGAACAAACGCTGAGGCTCCGCAGCCGAAGCCTCTCATTCACCCCAGGAGTTGCAGCGTCATACTATTTGCTCTAGCACAATAGCAAAAGGGACCGGAAATTATACACCGGACTGAAAGTGTACTAGTCTATGTTGGACAGAAACTGGATTCGGGTGCAACAACCGAAGCCACTGTGGCTGCCGGGGAGCAGTTTCCGCTGCCATTTCCTACATCATATTTACTGAGTGGGGATACTAAAATTTGAGCCCAATTGTGCTCTCTAGCACCATACGAAAAGAGTAAAAGAGTGAGTACTAAGTTGCTTCACTGGCCGCAGCGCTTCCACTTGCCGGTATGCCGAGGTCGGACATCATTAATGGAAGCGAAGAAGCGCCCGCTCAGGGAGGGGTTGCGGTGCAGAACAGGGGGACTGGAGACTGAATTGACATCGAACAAGCACTGAAAGATCCGACGGGTGCTTGAATAGTTATAGAGGCACGGTATGTCAGCGTTCTGATGTGCCATGGCCAAGCCCGCAGATGTTCGCACCAGTATGCGAGGGATACTCGTGCTTGTGTGCCTTGTCGCCAATGAGAAGGTACAGATATGACTTTGAGATTTGACCTGTCTTCAACTTCGGAAACAGTGGGATTCAATTGTGCTCGAGGCTCTCCCCAAGTTCTCATTACGTGTAGCCGATCCTGAGGAATAAACATGACTTCTGCTGATCGATGTTCATGTCGGTCCCAGAGGTTGTGCTTACATGTCCGTACTTGAAGCATCTAGCGGGTATTCCCAGCATTCTTTGTTCAGACATACCGGTCACACCATACAACAAACACCACCCATACCTTCTAGATGTAACCTCAGGTTTGATGATCCCAAATGTCCGAGAAATTAAGGACCCTGGTTCCGAGATTGGCCTGGTCCACGCATTTCGTGGGTGGGACAGAACCTGCATTCAAGGATGATCAGGTGTAGCTGAAAATCGGGAAGCGCCCCCTGTTCCCACATTAGCACAAGCAATTCCTATGACACGCGCAAAAGGGCTTGGAGTAATCCCTATAGCGCCGCTTGGAAAGAGCTTTAGACTGCGAAATAGGATTGTGTGGAACACGAATGCTATTTGGTGACTGATCGGGCCCGGGACAGGCGACACGAATGCTCAAAGGCAAGTGTGGTACCTATGTTCTGACGGATATCCAGTCCCTGGTGATCTTATTGACCTGCACGCAAGAACATATAAGTGTGCCCAATATATCTCATATTGTCTCATGTGGTTACCACCCCATGTGATGCAGAAGACTCGCAGCGTGAACATCTCCATTCATCAATGCCGGATCTTGAAGGAAATCTCTAACTTGACAAGTCTATTTGATACTGAAACGGGGCTACAGCAAGACCAGCCAATGCTTACTTGTGCTCATTCCAGAAAACCTCCTTCAACAGGTCGCACATCAATGTGATGGACCTTTTCCCTTCTTTCAGAACAGCGTCCATTGCCAAAAACGGATGAGGCATGCCTCTCATTATTTGCAAGTTCACTGGTACGCCTGCCTTCTGTAGCTTCTGCGCATACTGCTCACCCTCCGTCCTTAGCACATCCAATTCCCCAACCATGACCAAGGCTCTCGGCAGAGCAGACCAATCTCCAGTGTAGAACAGAGGGCTGGCCTCCGGGTTCGCCCAATCTTTCTGGTCAGGCAGGTAATGCTCGCGGTACCAGAGCATCTTGGCTGCTGGCAGAGCTGGGGTGTGTTCGTACTCGCGGTAGGCGTCGTTGGTAGATACTGAGGCGGTGTTGTCGGTCACCGGCACGGACAGTAACTGGGCCTGGAAATGAACGGGCGGCGAGAGAGTGAGGGCCTTTTGGGTGATGATGCAAGCTAGGTTTCCGCCTGCGGAGGAGCCGCCTGTTGCGAGAATCTTCGTGTCAATGGGGAGATGTGTCGGACCGTCGGCCAGCAGCCAGAGAAGGGCTTCCCAGCAATCATGGACGGCGGCGGGCCAGCGATGCTCGGGAGCGAGACTAGAGGAGGGCCAGTCAGGGTGCGACTCTCTTTGCATTGGTGAGCGGCATAGATGCTTACCGATAGTTCACAGTCACTACTACGCAGCGGCCTCGGTTACAGAGGTTTGTGCACACCGGATTCTCCGTGTCGATGTTGCCCAAAACCCATCCGCCTCCGTGGAAATACAACATCAGTGGCCATCCGCTCGCTGGTGCTGTGCCTTCCGGGATAAAAGCGCGCAAAGGAATCTCAGGTCCCTCTGTGACACGGCGACCAATGCGCAGGTCGACTGTTCTCCCCACGGGGAGCAGAGGACCTCCGCCGGGGATCAGGACGCCGCTTGTACGGGAAGCCTCCACCGGCTGGAGATGAACTTGTTGTCTGTCGATTACATGCGCATTATAGAAATCCACATATTCTGGGTCGAGCTTGTTTATCACGGAGGGGTGAAGAGGGTAGGGCGGTTGGTCGGCCGGGCTATGACTGATGGACATTGTGAATACGTTATGATGATTGGAAAAAGGGTACGTGCACTAGACGCATGGAAGTTGGCGGGGAACAGGACGAACTTTATAAATCTTCAATGCCACCGTTTATCTTGATGGGCAGCAAGCCCGTGGTTGCATGAATGTTGCATTTTCAAACGCAAGGGAGCAGGAGAGGATTAGAGCAGAGCGGGGGTGAGAACACAAGCCGGTTTATCAGGGTTTCTCTCCTCACTGATACGAGCCAGCTGTTCGCCCCATGGTGCTCAAGGCCAACCGTCTTCCTCTTCCAACATGGACGATTTTTACCGAGATGGACCATACAGCGATATGATGCCTTGTCGAACGTGCCTTATGGCTTCAACTACTCCCTCTTGAGCTGCGATCTGGTGGCTAATGGAGACAACTCAATAACACAGCTGCGTGGCTGTCAAGACCCTGCTTTGAAAGCAGACGTGGAGATCGAATGCATGGCACGCCTGTAGCGGGATATGATCAATGATCCACTATCTTGCTGTGTTTGATACATTGATAATCGCACCCAAAGTATTCTCAACGATTTGTCGAGCCTCTTTCGTAAGGGTTGTGGATGACGGCTGGATTATCTGTCGTTGTTATCGGCCTCGAACCTCATCATCTGAGATCTTATCGGGAGTAACCTGCGCCTGGTCCGTAGTGTACAGTTGTAACCTTGGAGCTTGGAGTAAATTACCCCTCATTCTGAGCTCCACCTTGCAAATTGTCTTGAGCCCCGCAGGAATTGACCGCGTCCCGACGGTGGCTATTTCAGCTTTGAGATTCGGGTACCTGTTGCAAGAAGGTGTACATAAATGACTGGTTTGGCTGGTTGACTGTTGTCCGATGCGATAAGATACCTAGTAGTTCCATGTTACTCCCGAGTCATACATCCACAGTAGAAAGTATCTATCTAGCTCGCTCTTTTATTCGAGATCATAGGCGAATTCCTTAATCGATGATAGTGAGGATCTAAAACCAATGCGATAACTCAAGGGACCTCATTCTACGCGAGAAAACATCCATAGTTCTTCAGCAAGCTGGTGGTGGTGGCATGGAATTCCGATTGCCCTTGCAGCCATCCATCCTCCCAACCCCTTTCTGAATTCTTGATAAAATGCATGGATGGCAAATAAATCAATGATAAGAAAAGGAAACAGTTGATGGATGGCCTGAGTGCCTGAGCCGCAGCACCGCTGCCTCTCTCTCGCCCTCTTCTTCTCATCCCCTCATCCCTAGAACATCCCCGGTAATCAGCCCTGGATTCTACTTTTCATCCTTCATTCAAGAAATTGAAGTTGTCTCATTGCTCCTGTCTCAACCTCTACCCATTTCCACCAAACAATCACTTAGCTTGCACACGATGACGGTGTATCCCTCGCAGGGGTGTCTGAGTACTCCGTAGTAGAGCGAGGGGATGCAATTCTGCGCATACGAAGGGCTGGCGATGTCTACGCTCGATCCTGAATCTTGATCACTTGTAACCTTCGTTAAACTAACTCACGATAGACCCTGAAGCTCATGAAAAATGCAATGACTAATCATGGTCGGCTTCTACTGGAGTACAGTACAGGAACTCGCCCACCCTTCTCGGCCGGACTCTTCATAGTCTACATTCCACACGATGAGACTATTGTCTCTTCTACCCAAAGAGAAGCCAGAGGCAGACTTCTTGCAATCTAGCTGCTCCCCTCCATCTGATCGGAGATGGGCATACCGCTGCCCATCCATTCCGACCCCTCTTCGCGCGTCGACGCGCCAGATGTTTACCATCTTCTCCCCATTTAGTTCGCTGTAGCCCTATCTTAATATCTTAAGTGGACTTTCGACTGGTGGTTGAATTCCTTTTACACTTATTGGCACCAGTCGCCTGATGTGCTGCTAGCTAGAGCTGATCTGATCGCATTGACTCTTGGGTGCCTATCAATGCGTGGATGTCCAAGCTCGATTGCCTCGACGTGTTGAAGCTGTGCATCGCAGCCTGCTGCTGCTCTAACCGCGAACCCAACCATGTCTAGCCACTATGTGTCAGCCAGCGCAGAAGGCGCGTGGGTGAAACGCGCGATCTTCGTCTCTCTGTACGCCTTGCTGCTCGAGTCTCTCATCGAATGGGGGATTGTGATCTACCTTTATGTTGAACGACACGTGGATGCGAGGATGACCCCTAGTCTGATTCTCGCTCTAGCAGCAGTAAGTTGTGAAGCACTCTCTTCAATCTCAAATGCTAAAACTGGGAATTAGTCCTTCTTCATTGTGCCGCTTGTCGTCATACACAGCTTTCTTGCCTGGCAGTACAACAAAGTAGCACGGTTTACAAGCCAAAAGGCCATGCTGCGGATCGTTTGTAGCTGTGTGTTGGGGATTGCGATTGTGATCTCGATAGCCGCCGGTGCTACAGGCCTGGTGGTTATATCGCAACATCTACCGTGTCTTGCCGAGGAAGGCAACGACAACTTCTGGAAGATGGGCGTAAGCTGCGCACTTTATCGTGCATCCATCATCGATTCGATTGTTTCAGTGTATGCTATGCTCCGACATCACTGGGTGATTGCGTTTACTGATTAAGATGCAGCATAACGTTGTTTCTTTTCTTTGGCTTCAGACAACTCTGCGGACGCCCTTATGATGTCTCATTAATGGGCATGTATACACGCCAGCCTTCATTTTCAATCTGCGATGACAGCATCCTCAGCAGCTGGAGCACGGAAAGTGACAATAGCCTGAAGAATGACATCTACTATGTGTGCCGGCGTCCCGACATCACATATGGCCGAGGGCTCTATATGTCATCAAGTGATAACACCATCCCAATGTCCGCAGGCATTGAATACCCGAACATTGTCCACCACAAACCCCACCCGGGGTTCGAGGCGGAATATGACTCGGATACACCGGATTTGCTATCGGGTACCACCCTTTCACCGCAGGAAACTCTTACAAGGAAGTTGCCGGGCGTGATGACTAGCTCGGATCTTCTTTCGTGCGTTTCGCGCACGCCCACCGCGGCGACATTTAGCTCTTATGGTGACCATTCTAAGCAAATGGCTCCGGTAGAGTTACCAGGGGCATCGCCTTCCACTCCCGGACACAAACGACAAAAATCCTCCGCGTCGTCTTTGCGCCGGCTGCTGCCCAAGTTATTTTCACAACCATTGTCAGCAGACCCTCAAATACGTGCCCTTGCCGACTCGACGACTGAAGCAGATGTCGAAAAAGAAGCCTTAGTGGCTGAACGCCCACCAACCCCGAAAAAGGAGTATGCTCCTGGACATCCACTGGCTTCAGCTCCTGTGGAAAAACCTTTGCCAGCCATTACAACCGAAGCTCTCACATTCGAAGCAAATCAGCTGCGAGCAAGAGCCCTCACACGATCTGTGACCATGAATTCAGCCGATGCTCCCGAAGTCCTCGTGCCGGAACCTTTGAATGTACGCCGGTCCAACACTGCGCATACGGCTCCTGTTCCCAGGAGCGCATATATACCGTACCAGGGAGCTTTCACCGCAACCCCTCCGCTCCCGGCAGCGCGCCCAGGTCTTGCCCAGGCCTCTAGCTACAGAGGTGTCCCGATTGATCGTGAGGTGGCCAGCCGGCAGAATTCCAGGCGCAGCAACCGACGACAGAGTCAGGTGTATCAGTTTGATTCCTCCCAAATTCCGCGGCATACTCAAAGCCAGCACCAGCCTCATCAGAATCACTACGGTCGTCGATGGTATCAAGAGCACGACCGCCGCATGTCTTCATCAACCCGTGGAAACGACGCTGAACTGACATACTCAAACCTGCGTCGTCCCCGCAGCAACACATATGGCGGTCTCGCCTCCGCGCCCAGCAGACTAGACAGTATCCGCGAAACGGGCACATCTGTTGACGAAGCCCCGGAGAGCTACCTGTCTGAGGCGAATGCGTATCGCGATTCAACTCGAACGAACAGTGTCAGTGGATACTAGAGCCTGCGGGTCAGGCTGTTCATTCTCATGAAAGAGCTACCGTCTCCCTAATTTTCGATTCTCAATATACATTTTGTATCAACCGGTCTTTTTAAACCTTTTTCTCGTCTTCGTACTTCTGAAGCTCACGGACCCCCATTGTATTTGCCCCTGATTTGTTATACCACGATCTGAGACATTTTAAAATGCCATACCTAATTCTTTGATTTGCCCGAATGGCAACAAATACATTAACGGAGTAATCTGCTTTAGCTGAGCGCGCATTCAAGCTCTGAGAACAGAAGCCAAGAACATGGCGACTCTCGTCTGTACACGCGAGATCCACTCCCTTCCTTAGTTTCTGACTGTAAGTTGCCTTTTCATGACACCGTAAAAACCATCCTGAGCACAATGAAAGCAGGGAATCATAATGAAAGCGAAGCAGAAAAGGAGAAACAGGAAGCAAAAAAAGAAAATCGAAAAGAAAACCAGCACCGTTAACACAAACCATGAAGCACGCCATGAAAAAAAGCAAACAGGCTCCGCCCAGCCCGAAACATTCAAGTCAATCAGACCTGTGATGAAAAAGGCATTCCATTGCCATAGTGCCATTATAACCGAAACCAACCCAACCCAGCCCTATCCAATCCAAATCCGTATCGTTCTTTTCATTTCAGGCTCTCTTCCCAGATTCACCCCTCCTTGACAAGGACGAGACCGAAGTCGACACCTGCCCTGGACTCGACACGGCATACTTGTACCGATACCCCTGTTTCCGCCTCCCCTTCTCGTCCGCTCCCACCGCAAGGTTTCCCTTCCCTGTTCCACTGCCACTGTTGCCACCACTAGCACCACCACCACCGAATTCCTTTTCTCCCCACGACCACATCAGCGCGCGACCCATGCGTTCCCGCTCCTTGAGCAGGAGCTCGACGCGCCGCTGCCACTCCTTCTCGCGCTTCTCCACCGAGCGCGCAATCCGCTCGTCCACGGCGGCGGCGGTCTCCTCCTTCGTCGCGAGCACGGACTCGAGATGCTCGACCTGGAGGTGAAGGGCGCGGCTCTCACTCTGGTGCCGCTCACGCTGCTCGCGCAGCGAGCCCGCCTGCGCCTTGTACCGGGATTCTCGGTGTTCCGTCGCCGCCAGCAGCTCGCGGAGCTTCGCGAGCTCGGCGGCATGGGTCGCTTTCAGAGTGCGGAGTTCGGAGTGGAGAGAGTGGGTTTGTTCGAGGAGTTCTTGCTCCTTCTGACGTTGAAGCTGTAGTGATTGCTGTTGCTGTTGTGGTTGTGGGACGGGAGGGGAAGGAGGGGGGCTGAGTTGTTGGTTCTGCAGCTGTTGCTGCCGGGTTTGTTTCTTCTTCTCATCCTCTTGTTGTTGTTGTTGTTGCTGCTCCTTTTGCAGGCGGTCGATGGTTTCTAGGGCTTTGGTGCGCTCCTCTTTCATTTGGGTCAGTTCCTGCTGGGTCTTGGTGAGGTTCGAGCGAAGGTCGTCGGCGCGCTTGCTGAGGCGGGTGCTTTCGGTCTCGATGGAGTGGATGAGGGTTTGCGCTTCGACGGCCTGGTCCTCCGAGCGCGAGAGCTGCAGTTCGAGGGTTTTCTTAGCCGAATTGGCCTCGGTGAGTTCGGACTGAAGTTTGGAGAGTTCGTCTCGGAGGCGTTTCAGCTCTTCGCCGGGGGCCTGGTCATAGTCTTGGCTCTGGTCTTGACGTTGTTCTTCTGGGTCCTTTCTTGATGAGCCTGGATTCAGAATCCGAGATCCCTGGCTGGGTTGGCCCAGATCCTTGATCAATTCGAGAATTTCTGTATAGGTGTTGCCGCCGGTTTCGAGGGGAAGGTCGGCGGCCATGGCTTTGAGGGCGTTTTCTTGCGCAGTAACTTGGGTCTGCGCGCGGGTGAGGTCGGCTTCGAGCGTGCTGTTCTTTTCCTCCAAGGGGCGATTCTTCGTCTCGAGAGTGACGATTTGTTCTTCCAGAGTCTCGTAGGCTTGATTGACGTTCTCGAGCTCCGTGTCTAACTTCTCTATTTCGAGCAGGTGGCTGCTGATCTGGGCCTTTAATTCATCCACTTCAGTGTTCTTCTCTCGGAGCTGCTGCTCTTTGGCATCGGTGACTTCCTTGAGCTTCGCGATCGTCTCGTCCAGGGTTGCGTCGCGCTTACGCAGCTGTTCCTGGGCCAGATCTAATTGCTGTCGCAAGTATGCAATGGTGTCGAGCCGCTCTGCATCGAGGTTCGGGTGTGATGATGCACGGTTCTGCAGCTCCTTCTGCATATCGCTAATCTGCTTCTGAAGAGCACTTAGCTCGGAGGCATTGATGGTGGACTTGTGCAAGAAAGTCTCTCTTTCTTCGTTCTGTTTCTGGAGCATGTGGACTTGCTCTCGCAGAATAGTCTCGTCAGTACGATTGGCGTAGAATTCATCTAACAAAGCCGACTTCCTCTGCAGCTCGCCCTGAAGGTGCTTTATTTGCTCGCCAGCGGATGCTGCCTCCAGCACGCGCCTACGACCCTTCTCCAGCTGCTCATTGCGGTCTTGCAGCTTGTTTTCGAGTTCAAGTATTTGCTTCCGTAGATCTCCAGCTGCACTTGGTTCTTGCTTGTGAGGGGAAGGGGTTTTGTGTCTCCGTACTGACGGGGTAGTCGTGCTTGCCTCCATCTCATCGTCCGGATCCTCTTCAATATTTTCTAGATGCGTGGTATCCCTGTTGAAGCCACTGGCGCGGCGCAGAAATTGCGATGGAGTAGACATGTCGATCGGTGGGCCGAATTCACTGTATTCGCCAAGCTCTGGTTCAGGTTCGGGCTCATCCTCGATAGCCGGCTGATGCAACTGAGAACTCTGCTCGCGCTGTGGCGGTCGCGTATCCTCCCGCTGCTGCATTCGTTGGCTATTTTGCCTGCTGTGGCCTCGCGGCTGGGCAGGGGATTCAGGTAGCGGAGGCAGGGGGTTTTCGTCTTCCTCCTTTTCCAGGTGGCGCAGATCTTGTTCCTGCTCCTCCAAATCATCAAACAGGGGCTCAAGCTCCGACAAGTCGTGTCCATCATCCCGGAAGTCCATAAAGTGCTTATCCTCCATAGTATCGCCGTCGCCCATCAGGTATTTCTCCAGATTCGCAGTGAAATCCGCTGGACCTCCGACATCCGACAGGTCATCTCCATGCGGAAACTTGAATTCCGCAAGAGGATCCACATGGTCGTCCAGCGCTTGGGTACTCGGGTACTGGCTGAAGTCAACGGTGTATTGCGCCAGACGGGCGTCGATGTCGTTCGCGGCGCGCTCGAGCGACGACGCTCGGGAGGACCGCGGCGAGTAGCTTTGTTTTAGCGGAGAGCGGGCATCATCGGCGTGGGTTGTGGTCGCGGCGCGATCGACAGTACGAGGACTCTTCGCGCTCAGGGGAGAGTAGCTCTGTGCGTTTTGACGACGAGAGGGGGGTGACGAGGGCATGAAGAGAGGCGTCGCGAGAGTTGACGCGCCCACAGTGTCATGGGTGGTCGTATCGGCCATGCTGGGGGTGGATTGTCCTCAAGGGTATCGAGGTGACTAATATAGGACAAGATACTAAAATAGGCCTCAAGGTAGCCGAGGTATCATGGCTTAATGGAATTACTACATAGGTCGACCAATAATGCAGAATTGAAGCCAGAGTCGTTGAAGGAATGAATGAGTTATCGCCGGGGAAGATGCGATAACAAACACCAACTGGTCGGGTAAACACCGATCGTCAGGCACCAGGGGACTTGCTGCCTGTCAATTCAGGCCTCGAATCATCATTGTCAGCAGTTTCACTCAGCGAGCCTGCTGACCGCATCGCACCTCAATTACAGATGATTTTTTACCGAGTCACAATGAATCCTCCGGGTCACACCTGCAAATATCGTGCTCTCATGACAGATAACTATCAACGTAGATGGAATTGTCCTCCAACCATCTGCTCAAGTATTGTATTGTACGGTACTATCACTTACGACTGAGATGAAGAGCAGTGCGTCACGTGTCAGCTCTTTGCGCAACCTGGGGGTGTCTTATGAGCCTCTTCGAGGTAATGCTCTTCGTCCCTGTCCCTAGCTTCTGACCCTGAGGTTCGAAAATGTGCGATTCTCTGCTCAGCAGTCATGGTCTACGAAGGTCAGTACTATATATGAAGTTCTATGCCTACCTACACCGTCGGCGGGGCTGTTAAGGTGGGCTATTCTACTTCCAGACCGTCGCCAGCCGAATCCAGCACTGCTCGCTTCCCCCCATTTCTCCCTCACCCGACCGATCGCGGCGACCTTCGCTGTGTCGCAATCTCGCTTCTCCACCTTTTTTCCCTTCTCCCTCCTCCTCTTCTGCTATCCCCAGGCTTGAGATCTGGGTTTAGTAGTGGAATACCACTCTGCGCATCGTTCCCTCTACCATATCTCTGACAATGCCTCCCGTACCTTCGTCGTCCGACCGGTGTCGGGTTATCTTGTACCATCAGACTCTCTGTCCCAATGGAGGCCAGTATGTCTCGATGATGCCACTAGTCCAGAACAATACAGGCGTTACCCACATCATCCTCGCAGCCTTTCACCTGAACGCAGACCCGGAACACATTACACTGAACAACGATCCCCCACAACACAGCATGTACGACGCCCTATGGGCCGAGGTACCCCGCATGAAACAACAGGGGGTACGCATCATGGGAATGCTCGGGGGCGCTGCGCAGGGCTCGTTCCGCTCCCTGGATGGAGATGCAGAGAAATTCGAACTATACTACCGACCCCTGCTGGCCATGATCCGGCGCCTTGGATTGGACGGGCTAGATCTCGATGTGGAAGAGGAAATGTCGTTGGCAGGGATCATCCGACTTATTGACCGACTCAAACTGGATCTGGGAGACGAGTTTATTGTGACGCTGGCTCCAGTTGCGGCGGCCATGCTGGGCCTGGGAAACCTGTCGGGGTTCGACTACCGGGAGCTGGAACAACAGAGAGCCGCAAAGATCGGTTGGTACAACACGCAGTTCTACAACGGTTGGGGACCCGCAGATAATCCCCGGATGTATGCTGCCATCGTCGCACAGGGCTGGTCCCCAGGCCGGGTGGTGCTTGGGATGTTGACCAATCCGGGCAATGGGTCGCAGGGCTATGTGCCCCCCGAGAAAATCGGACCTATCCTGGCCATGCTGATTGAACAATATCCTGATTTTGGGGGCGTCATGGGCTGGGAGTATTTCAACTCGAAACCCGGGGAACAGGAGCATCCATGGTACTGGGCAGCGGAGATGTCTCTGAGCATGCACATGAAAGATCTCGTGGATGCAGCGCGCCAGCTCACTTCAGGGCCGATGACCAGCAGCTTGATGAACGTGCTTCGCGACATGATGCAGCGGCGATAGACGGGGAGAAATGTAGTGTAGAATATAACTATAAGGATGTATATCCATCGCTCCGCTGGAAGTCTATAGCTGCACGTATAATGTGTTGTTTTGCTGGCTGATGGAATTAAGAACGATGCATGGTGTCTCTGTGTCCGAGCGTCAGTTCAGAAAAAAGAGGTGTTTCGGCATGTCGTCATCGTCGACTTCTCCGCCGCCGCCGGCTTCTGCTCCTTCTTACCGATAAACTTATTGCAGTACCTGCCACTCAACGCCCTTTCATTATTCATTATTCTTCGAGCTGCGAATTGAACAGCAGCAAGCTTCGCCTCCCGGGAAAGCCTACTGACCTGGCAATGATCACTACCTGTTGAATATCATCGAAACCACCCCCAGCACCATGGTGTCTGTCGCGCGGATTGCCGCTGCCTTGAGCTCCGCAACGGTCCGGGCTGCGGCCTTCTTCTTCCTCCGCTGGGTATGTTGATGCAATCGCTTCGCCGCAAGAATCTTCCCCGACTCATTCGTTATGTGATTCTTCTAGGTCCCCGGACACCACTTCCCGCCTCTGGTCTTCACAGCATTGGCTGTGTATCTCACTGCTGTCGTAACGCTTCTTCGACAGGCTGAGCGGAGTACCACCGGCAGCAATTCTAAAGACTCTCCAAAAACCACAAGTTGAGTGACCAGACCAATGAGCATTTTCGGCGGCCTTCTAACTCCTACAATCAGAGCGCACAACACCACGAAATCCAGATAATGTACTCAAGACATTGTTCACTGGCCTGCCGTCCGCCAGCTTACCACGCTCCACGCGGTTGACTGTTCTCATCAACATTGGGCTTGCATTGCTCACTCTAGATTTCATGCTGCGTGGCCTGGTTGTCTACCCCAGCGCAGATATCACCTTCTCTCGGATCGGTTATGTCTCACCAACAACCGCCAACCTACTGGTTCGCGAGCCAGATCCTGCACAGCTGCCCCTTGTCATCTTCTACCAGCCAACAGATACAGAGGACTCGACACGATGGACGGAAGAGGGCATGATCTATGCTCTGGACGAGTCAACAGACTACACGACCACGGTGACAATCAAAGGCCTGAAGCCGTCGTCACCTTACCGCTACTCCCTGTCCAACAATCTCACAGGCTCATTCGTCACTGCTCCAATGCCCGGCACCAAACAGGCAAACCGCCTCAGCTTCCTGACCTCAAGCTGCATGAAGGCGAATTTTCCCTACAACCCGCTGTCGCACCCACTGCGCATCCCAGGGATCGAGATGATGATGGAAACAATGGCTCGACTGCCATCATTGCTGCGACCAGCGTTCATGCTGTTCCTTGGCGACTTCATCTACGTCGATGTCCCTCAGCGCTTCGGGTCATCCGTCTCGCACTATCGCAGCGAGTACCACCGCGTCTACTCTTCTCCCTCGTGGAATCGTCCAGAGGATAGTACGCCCGCCATCGACCTGCCTTGGATTCACACTCTCGATGACCACGAGATTGAGAATGACTGGTCGAAAGGCAACACCACTGCACCGTACCCCGCGGCGTTCGAGCCCTACATCCATTACCATGTCCGGCCTAATCCGCCCATCCCACCCGTTCCCTTCGCGACGCCTGAAAACACGACCTACTTCTCCTTCATCCACGGGCCTGCCTCCTTCTTCATGCTCGATACCCGCACCTACCGATCGGCCCCGTCGCAGTACAACTCCACGATCCTCGGCTCCGCTCAGCTGCAATCCCTCCTGGCCTACATCGCGCGCCCCGAACCCAGCGAAGTGCGCTGGAAGCTCATCGCCTCCAGCGTCCCCTTCACCAAGAACTGGCGGGTCGGCACCACCGACACCTGGGGCGGGTTCCTGAACGAGCGCCGCGTCGTGTTCGAGGCGATCTGGCGCGCCGAGAGCGAGCTCGGCATCCGGATCGTCCTCCTCAGCGGCGACCGCCACGAATTCGGCGCCACGCGCTTCCCCGACCCCTCCCTCGACCTGCCCGCGACCGAGCTTACCCCCAACACCGCCGGGGAGGGCCTGCACGAATTCTGTGTCGGCCCCCTCAACATGTTCTACCTCCCCGTGCGCACTTACCGGCAGACGGACAACGAAGACGTCACCATCAAGTACATCCCCGACGGGAACACCAAGTACGGCCTGGTGGACATCGAGGTCCGCGACGCGGTCATCGATGCCACCCAATCCGGACACCCCGTCACCGTGCCCAGCTCGGTGCTCACGTACTCGATGTATGTCGATACGCAGCTGGTCTGGCAGTACGAGCTCAGCGTCCCCCTGCCCGGGTACGAGAGCCGGGTCGCGGACGTGGCGGCGTGGAAACACCCGCGACTGCCGCCGGGAAAGCTGTTGCTGGACACGAGGGAGGAGCAGAGCTGGGATGCGTGGGCGAAAGGGTGGGTCGGACGAGTCGAGGAGACTGTTGGGTTGATTAGAGATGGTGTCCTGAAGGTAGTGTATAATGTTTTGGATGTGATTCAGAAGAAAGAGCGATTGGATTAAGTTTCTTTCTTTTTTTTCCCTACTTTTTGCAGCTATGATCTTGCGGAAGAATCTCTTGGATACTAGGCAAAACATGCTAATCGGGAATTGGTCCACAAATTGTAGGTTATTCGCCACAAGATGGGTTGAACTGAGAAATCATAGATTGATAGGTATCATTCGAATGAGCAATCTACCGCTTTTTCGGGGAACGGACGTAGTTCAAAGGAGATGGTTACATGCCAATCTGGTTCAATGCAAGCAAACCTCATCTATCATCAGATTATTTCGGTATGGATTGGGATGGAATGAATCAACAACCCGGTGGAGAAACCAAGAAAGAAAAACGAACACGCCCAACACCATAGTATGCTAATACAATCGACATCGACATCAGCAGTAAGCCGTGGCTTCCGGCGGAGGAAAAAAACCGGAGTCATGAAAAGGGAGAATAGTGAGAAAAGGTCAGATATAGACAAGAAGGTGCGAAGAGGATAGAAGGGACTTGAGGGAGAGGGCGGATGGAGGCCAGAGGAAACGAAAAATGAGAATGCAAGGCCGCTGGACGAAGTTGAATAAGGGGTTGCAGCAGGATCACCGGCCACGACCTCGGCCGCCACCACCACTGCCCATACCACCCATCAGCCCGCCCATCTGGCTCATCATGCTCTGCAAGTCCATGCCACCGAGGCCCGGGAGACCGCCACCGCCGCCGCCGCCCTGACCCTGCAGCATCTGCATCATCTTGGCCATGTCGCCCATGCCGGGCATACCGGGGAACCCGCCGCCGCCGGCCCCG